GCACTGGCATGAGGCTATCACAACAGAGGAGCTGAGGCTGGCAGCAGCAGCCAAGCTGCACAGAGGCTTTACAGTAACACCCCTCAGGTGCAGGCAGCATTCCTGCTCCTTTGCCCCCAGTGCTGAAATGAAATGCCATGCTGGCCCACATTAAGACTTGCCATGGGGAGTGAGGGTAGGCGAGGGGCTAGGATGTGCCTAGAAGCTGTCTGGGGTCATATTCACTTCTCTGAAGGCAGAGGGGAAAGGACAAGAGAGAGGATAGGGACAGGGGAATGGGAGAGAAAGCAAATGGTTTCATTTGAATATATCCAAGTCTTAAAAAAATAATCACTGCCCAGTGCTCTGGGACAAGACATGGTCTTTCTTCTTTGTATGTGAGTTGGAGATGGGAAAAACATTACCCTGGGCCAAAAGGCAGCATGGAGATAGGCTCTATGCAAGGGTCTGTCAGGTCCAGACCCTTTTTCTGTACCCTTGTGGTGGTTTTTGTTAGGCTGCTCACCAGTTGCTAGGGGTTTTTTTGTTTTGCTTCGATCATTTTCACTGATGAGAGCATCTGCTGCCATCTGTGCCTCCCCCTCCTCCCGCGGCAGGGCTGCACACCGCCGTGGTTCTGCCTGCAGATCCAGGCGCTCTTCACTGTCCAACCTGCACAGGATGAGGGGATGCACAGGAGGGAAGAGGCAGCTCCATCAGTGCTCTGCTCTTCCCCTGTGTGATTTGCTGACAATATCTGGGCACTGCTGCAATTGTACCCCTCACAGGACACCCACAGTGCCAAGGTCCCAGAACTTGGTGGCTCTAAGCAAGGCTGCAGTTCTGCCTCTGAGAAGCCATCAACCTGTGAGACAGTGTTGGAGGGGAAAACAGAGATAAAAGGGCTTTGGTAAGGTCACCCAGGACATCAGCACATGGCTGGCAAGGGAGGTGAGAGTTGCTACTTGCTGGCAGTGTGACTCTGCCTCCTGGCCCATGGAGTGCCTGGGAAGCAGGGTTGTGATGCTACAGCGTAGTCAGCTTCTGCTGGAGGATTACACACCCCAGAGCAGGATAGAGGTTGCCATTTGCATCTCTCTCTGACTGTTAATTTGGGTATCCAGGCTGATGGCTGACTCACCATGCTCTGCCTGCACGCCTGGCGGCTCATCCCAGTCAGAGGAACCGGTGGATGTCGACACTGGGCCGGGAGGTCCTTACCTGAATGAGCTCCATGTCATGTTTATTCCTGCCAGCCCATAGATAAAGGAGGATTGTGGAGTCGCGTTTACCAGCCAAACCCAAACCAGTTCACCCCAGCTGGGACCCGATGCGCTGCTGTCTGCAAACTGGCTTGGTGGCATTTGTGCGAAGGAGGCATCCCGAGCCCTGCGCGGCAGCGGGGACAGAGGCTCGGCTGAGCACCGAGACTTGCGTAAGCACGGCAAGGTTTGCTCACGCACTGCCTGGCTCGCAGCCACCTTTCCCTGCCAGCGTGGAGGGTAAATGTGTACATTTGTCTGACGCACATGTCCCGGCTGGCACGGAGGGCACATCCCTGCGGAGGGCTGGGGACCCGCTCCTGGCTGGTTCTAGGAGCCACGCTCACTTCACAGCTGCTTCTTGCTCAAGCCAGCGTTTGCCCTGTGTCGGGGCTGGCAGCTCGCCGGTGCCGGGGCGTGTGGCGGGGAGTCCCTCAAGAGCGTGGAATGAACGACCTGCGCTCCTCGCTAGGGCAAAGCCGAGCCGGGGCCGCGGGGATGGGCGCAGCGCTGCCGGCTCCGTGCTGCGGGGAGAGGGGGCCCTCTGCCTGCCTCCCGCAGCCTGGCAGCTCCAGCTCGGCCCCGACACCCCGATCTCTGCTCCGTCACCTCCTCCTGGCTGCTCGGGGGCTTCCTCGGGGTCCCCCCGCAGCCATTTCACCGCGGGGCTGAAGGAGCCCCGTCCCGAAGCGTTTCCTCTCCGGACCAGGGTGACGCTCAGCAGCCTCGGTGGCCTTTCCTCAGGCTCGCCCCGAACGCCTTTCAGCTACCAGGGACACCAAATCAGCACAGGTGTTTTAGGCACAATTGGACAATGTCGCCTAACAGGGAACAATCGCTCCCCTCGAGCTAAACAAAAACTAAAAAGCAATCCTCATCAAGCTGTCAGGCTCAGTTTCCCGAAGGAATACAATTAAATCTTTAAATGGCAACATGACCGTCAGTTCTTCCCCATCTCAAAAGATGCTTCTCAAGCTGCGTTCGGCTGTTCTTCTCTTCCACCCCCTCCTTTCAGTTTTCCTTCCCGCCGCGGAGCGCAACAGAGGCTGCGGCTTCGCAGCCAAAAAAAAGTGCGATTTGGAGAGCGCGGCGCGACGTTGTGAGTGGCAGGAGTGAAAAGGCAGAGAAGCAACTCTTGAAAGCCTGCCTTCTGCCGCGGCGGGTGTCAGCCTTGGCAAAACCTGAACTTCCAGAATTTTCTTGCAAAATTAAAAAGAAAAAAAGTAATTAAAGGACCTGTCGGATTTGGCTGCTGCTTTTCTTTCCCTTGTTCCCTCAAAATGAAAAAAAGTTCTTTCTTTTGCTTAACAGCACAATTAGTGCAATCTGGGATGTACTTGCCTGACAGTATATAGGGATGTATTTTTGCTGTCTCAGTTTGTGGTTCCCTGACACTGACGAGATGAAAAATGAACGCTGAATACCTTGATGCTGCTTCACTTGGAAGACCTATGCATGAATATTTTTTCTCCCCCAAAAGGTTGGAAAGCTGTGTGTCCCCCTTATTTCCCCCATTTTGGGGGTGCTTTCCTTTTGTTGTTGGTTTGGAGTGACTCCATTAAGGGGGAAACACTAAGAGAGAGGAAGGGAAAGCACAGGAGTTTTGCTGCCCACAGCCCAGAGCTGCAGGTGGAGCTGAGCATGTGCTGGGGTCGGTCATCCCATCCTCCAGGCACAGGGTTACTGCATCCTTCTTGCCACCCTGTTCCTGTCCCTGGCGGGTCTGGATGGACCTCCAGCCTGCTGCAGCGATTTCACCTCCTACAATGTGGGTAACAAACAATAAATATGATGGCTACTAATAATAACCCTCCCATTGCATCCCCAAATATACATGCAAAAAATGCTGCCAAGTCAGTTCAATATTCCCCCTGGTTCATTAAACCAGCATTCATTTTCCTGCAGATAAGATGGTCCGTCAGGGGAAGGGATGATGATAACTCATTTGTCACACTTGTTAAATGTAGAAAAGGCTGGCTTTGAGTCACTTCCAGTTTTGTGTCAGCTCTGCCTTTATCTGAGCAGCCCCATGCCTGCATGCCAAGCAGGGTGGGTCTCTCCTGTGTAGCACAGGAGATGGGGATGGTGGCTGTCCCTGCAAGATTTCCTAGAGTCAGGGGTGGTCCTGAGTGCAACGTGGCTGACATGAGTCACAGATCATAGAAAGGAATGCACTCGTTATTGCAAGAGATGCCAGTGGTCGCATAGGAATCTAAACATCCAGCTTGGAACCCCTGGCACTCCACACAGGGTGACCCTGTCCGAGTTATCCCCCCAGCCCATCCAGCTGCACTTGTGTTTGAGCTGAAAAGCCAGAGGGGTGTGATGGGGAAGGATTCCAAGGCAAGGCCTCAGACACAGCCAGCGTGAGCTTGGTGCATGTACAGGGGGAGGGAAAAGGGGATACAACTTCATCTCTGTGCCTCTTCTAACCTCGGAAGATCCTGGGATGACTGCTCTGGGTGTTGCCTAAGGTAGCACTGTCCCAGTGGGATATAATTTGCCAGTTCTGGGTGGCTGCAATGTGAGTCATTGCGGCTGTATCCTCTTTGGGGGCACTGCCATTGTGACAGGCACCTCCTTCCTCAGCCTGGGACGAGACTGGCTATAGCCCCTACATATGTTAGGATGGAAACGCCGATGGCCATGACCCCTCAGGTCTTGCTCCAGGGAAGGGAGCTAGAAGTAACCGAGAGAAAGAGTATTGACCTCTGAATGAGTCATCATGGAGATGTTCATGGCTGAGATACTGTCAGGGCATCATACATGGCACTGCCAATCAAAACTGTTGTAAACAGACCCCTGATCTGATCTGGTGTGGCCTCCAGTGAGTGGAGGATTGCAGGTCTTTCTGCCCATAGCTCCCCTGATAAATGAAGCCCAGGACAGGATGAAGGTGTGGAGACCTGAGCAGGAAGGAGGTGACAACTCATGATGCTTTCAGGAAAGCATCTTCATGATCTGTCCCCACATCTCACTATGGCACGTCCCTCACAGAGCACAGCCCAGAGATAACCTGCTGATTTAACCAAGCACTCAGCAGATGATGATGTGTCCCATGACAGCCTGTCTGCATTCCCCATCTCTTGCTTCACCTCTGCTTTCAGGGTGGGTGCAAAGGTGGATCCTGATGCCTTTTCCCAGCTCCATGGCAGGTCTGCAGTGATTGGTACCCCTTGGCATGAGGTCATCTTACAGCTGGGAAAAGATGAGGCAGCTGTGGCATATGAGATGAGATGAAGGGTCAGAGGGGCTGATAGGCTGTATTTTAGTCCTGGTCTTGTCATTCATTTATGGGTGTTTTCAAGTCAGGGTGTGTTGATTTGCAGTATGACTGGCAGCTGCAGGCAGCTATTGGGCAGGGCTCTGAGCTCCTGCCCGTTTCAGTGGCAAATGCACATCGTCTCCGAAATCTGGCTCTTCATAATGACCCTGGGAAGTGCTGCAGTAGCAGCAGGTTCAGACTGCAGCGATTTATTTCTCTCTTCAGCGTTGGTCCTAGCAGGGGAGGGGGGCCCTGCCTGCCTTTGCCTGCTTGCCATAGATCTTCCATCAAGGAGTCAGCGAGGTCTCTGCTCTTAAATCTGGGTCTGCGCTCCCCTTCACGGCTGCATGCGGCCCCGACCTGCAGCAGCATCCCTCACTCCTCTGCTTTAAATCTCTCCCCAGCAGCTGCTGGTGACATTAGCATTTTTTTTTTTGCCAGCCCATGGAGACCAGGAGCCCAGCCCTGCTAAGGAAGGAATTACCCCGGCAGCATCACAGATCAGAGGTATCTTTTTATTGACAGTTTACAGAAATACAGTAGCACTCCACTTAGGTGGCTTAGGCGAGTTCTCCAGAAGGTGCTTTCCTTCTCAGCACTGATGGGAGATCCCCAGGAGAAACATGCCCTTTAACACTTTGGGGTTTCTCTGGAGGCTTTGGGGCTCCCCAGCATGAACTTCCTAACACTTTCAGCTCTCCAGGGGTTGGGAGTTGTTTGAACCAGTGGATGAAATTCAAGAGGAGAAAAGGAAAAGAAACCCCCACAAGCTGGGGGTGGTGGGGTGGTCTGAACACACCTGATATGTTGTGAGCCAGCCCTGCCATGATCCCCATCGATCACTGTATGTGTCTCCAGCTCCACAGCACCCCACTGTTCCCTAGAGATCAGCTGTCTGCCACTAAGTGTGCATAGCTCTGGGCTTTGCACGCTCTTTTCACACAGCTTGTTGGCCATACAACAAGTATTTCTTGGTCTGTTTTTCTTCCTGTACGTGCGTTAAGAGTGCGACCCTTTCCTTTAGCTGTTCACATACCATTTCAGGGCAAGAAGGGTATGCTCAGCTGGGCTGATAAACTAATTTAACTTTTATTTATGTATTTAATTGACTCTTTTTTTTTTTTTTTTTTTTTTTTGGCAATCAAGGTGTAGTAGTTGGTTTGTTTTGTGTGTCCTTGCTACAGGAAACTGCAGACACTTCTGGCGTAGAGGCATTTTGGCGGCGGCAGCTGCTGTTGGCCTCACTCAGTAGTCAGTGAGAGGGTATCGCAGGAAGATGAAGATAAGGATGATACAGAAGGTGGCAAGGGCTGAGCTGGTGATGTTAAAAAGCCGGGCAGTCTTGGCATCTTCAACTGCTCCATTTAAGTCATTGAGGAGTTTCTTATCCCGGACCTGAGAGAAAAAGATAATTAAATAAAGTGATTGCAACATGTATGAAAGACATAACTTGTTTCAAGCAACAGCCACAAAACCCAGTGCACCTGTATGCGGTTACCTGTACAGCAGATGAGGGCTGGGCTGAACTTCTTTGTATTTGAGAATTTGGGGTGCTGTAAAACACCCTGAGGTGAGGTTTGCACCCCATCTCTTCTACGGGTTGAGCTTGTGAAGCCAAGCACTGTAATACCTGTGGGCTGGAAATTCTTGGAAGCAAAGAAAACCTGAAAGAATGACTCGCTGCTGTTACCAACCAGGCAAACCAGGGCCCCATGGTCCCTGGAGTGGGCAGTGTCATTTGGAGCCTGCACAAAGGAACTGAGATGCCATTGTACACCCCGGGCACACAGGCACTAAAGCACACTTCCCACCGTGTCACAGCACCCTGGCCCTGCAGCGCCAGGCTTCAGCTCGCCCAGACACAAGGGAGAAGGCTGGCTGCAGTTTCGGTGTGCATCCCGTGCCTCTGTCTGCACTGAGGGGCTGAGCGGGTGAAACCTGGCACAGCATCCTACTGCAGCTCCAGGGCTGTGCACCAGCCTCCAGCATATTAAGTAGTCCCGGGTTAATGAGCTCCTTTCCTTTTGCCGGTCTTATGCGGATTGTGTAGCATCTCTGCCACAGGCAGTTTTCTATTCTGACAGCACAGTCTGCTCCCTTCATTATCCTGCAGGCTGGGACTTTTATGGGCTTTCCTTGGGACCGCTCTGCAGTGGGCAATGATTGTGCATGTCCATGTCACTGGCCTGTCCCCAGCTCTTCCAGGCTGCCAGGCAGTGCATGGCACAGCCAGGCAGCAATGCCACTAGCAGGCACTCCCGAGGTACTAGTGACAGCATTAGCAGGCAGCAGATGGCACTGCAAGGCAGCAGATGACACTGCCAGGCAGCAATGGCATTACCAGGCAGTGGATGGCACTGCCAGGCAGCACATGGCACTGTGAGGCAACGATGGCATTGCAAGGCAGCAGATGGCACAGCCAGGCAATGATGCTGCGAGCAGGCAGAGATGGCACTACGAGGCAGTGGATGGCACAGCCAGGCAGCTGATGGCACTGTCCACCAGCAGCAGCTCTGCAGTTGGATCCCAGCAGAGGAGGAGTCAGACTCCACTGCTTCCTAGCAGGGATATGTCCCTGTCCCCAGGCTGCCCCTTCATCCAGCACTCAGCAGACTCAGGCAGCTGGAGCCACAAGGATGAACACAAGGACCAGGACACTTGATCCCTCATCCATTTCCCATATCCAAGCAGGGTGCCCAGGGTGTGGCAGGACCTGCCCCACTGCCTGGTCTGGGATGGGGGTTGTGGGGAGTGGGGCTGTGAGCCCTTTGCCTGCCCTGCTGCCAGCAGTGAGAGCCCTGCAGGGCACTGCTGGCTGGACACTGGATGTGGGTGGCAAGCTGCAAAAACCAGAACCAGAGTCAGACTCAGGAATATTAAAAGGCTTTTATCGATCAGGAGCTTTCCAAAAAGACACTGCAACAGATTCAGACCACATCTACAGACTTTCCTCTCTTCCTCCTGCAGTGCTTACCCGCAGGGCTGTCCTGAAAGTCTTCTGCTGGACATGGGGAAGGGTTGCTGCACCCCTTTTTCACACTGAGCCATGCCAGTTCACGGGTCCACCAAAACTGCATTTCAGACCCTCAAGCAACGTTCCTCTTCTCCATCACACCAATGAGGACTTCTCTGCACAAGCAAACCCTGATCCTCTGAAATGTGGGTAGGGAAGCTGCTGTTGGCATGAGACCCACAGGATCTGGTGCTGGCAGGCACATAGGCAAGAACGAGCCTATTTTTCATACTTGTATTAAATCAAACCGTGCCACGTCCTTGGCCTCTGATGTGCCCTGCTCACTGGAGCCTGTAGCTGGAGCTGGGGCCATCTACTCATTGCTCTGCTGTGGAGTGCTCAGCTCAGCATCCTTCTGGGATCGCAGGGAGGGGACAGTCACAAACTGCACGTGTCTTTGGGGCACACTTGGCTGGAGCTCTCAGCAGAGGAGATGATCTCTGGGAAAGCATCAGGCCGGCAGCTTGGGAGCCCACATGCCTTTCTGTGTCAGCTGAATGTCCGGGATGACTCACATTTGAAATTATTCAGTAAGTTTAACATCCTCCCAAAAACCCCTGGGCTCAGCAGCACCAGGCATTTGGCACCTCCTCACGAACTGGTGAGAAGCCCCAGAGGTGCTGGATTCAGGCCAGAAATCCCGCTTGCCGCTCCCAGCCGACTCTTTGAAGCTCTCACACACTTTCCTCTTCCCAGCGCTGGGGCTGCCTCAGGCAAAACCGACAAGGAGCAAATGCCTTTTGCCCCTTCCTGCACTGTAACCCAGTGCTCTCTGCCGCAGGCAAGCTGGCGTTTGCTGTCAGTGATTGCCAGGCAGACAGAGGTTTCTCCAGCAGACCGGCACACCAAGCTCTACAACCCTCCCGCAGCCAAGCCACTTCACCTTTGTGGGGCCAGCTCCTCTTGTCTCCAGGAGCTCTCTCCTACTCCTCGCCTCCTGTTCCTTCTGTCCCTGGAGCGCCCTAGAACCCTAATTTCCACGCTCACCCTTCTCCAGTGTTCCCAGCAGCATCTCCCACCTGACACCAGTTCACACTTGCCTCTCCTTGACTTTCCCATGGCTCTCTCTTTGGCCTTGCTCCTGTCATGCTGCTGCTGCTGAGCATCTGTGTGAGGGCTGCCTGGGGCTGCCCTCTCCCCTGTGACACCATTTCCCCACTCCCCTTTTTTTTTGGTGCTTTCCATCTCTTCTCTTTCCTGTTGTTTGGGTCCAAACGATGGCTGCTTTGACTCCTACCAAAGGGCACCCAGCTCTCTCCTCTCCCTGCACCTCCAGCTGGTTCCACCCACACACTCCTCCTACCAGCCCCTAGGGCTTCAGTGGTCACTCTCATGAAAATCATCCCTGATTGCCTATAATCATTTAGACTGAAATGGAGCCTCTAAGCACCAGACAAGTGCAAGGGCCCTTGTGGACTAAAAGCGCAATGAAAAGGAGTTTGTCCTTACACACCACTCACATCTTCAGCTTCCCACATCTCTGGAGGGCAGCCTTGTCTCCTCCTGAATGGCCCTGCACCCCCAGATGCTTCCAGATGTCTCCCTTTAGTGTCCTGCTGTGGCAACTGAGCCAGGCTCTGGAGGAGCTCTCCTGGAGAGCAGATAAGTGTTTCAGCTTCTTCCCTGCTTTGTCCTTAAGGAGATGCTGGTGTCTTTCTTATAGCCTAAATTCAGCTTTTCCTATTTCCATGCTCCTGTGACCACCATCATCATAATGTGCTGGCAGCTGGTGCACGAGCTTCTGGGAGCCCTGGAAGCTGATTCCTTCCATAGCCAGAGAGATGAAGCATGGTGAGGGACAGGTCCCCAAGGCCACAAGGCTGAACCCCCACCCCAGACCCAGGTGTGGTGTTTTCTTAGTCACAGGCTCTTCTCATCATCCCTTTGACCCTTCTCACCTTGCCTAAAACTTGATGGGGATTTTTGGCCCTGCTTTGCACTGAGATGAGTGGAGTGTGAGGATAATTACATCTGCTGACTGGGGTTTCCCTGGACACCTCCAAGCACTCTGTGGTGGCATCTTTGGAGATCTCCCCCAGACAAGGCAGAGCTCACCTCTGATCCAGGCTGGCAACTTACACAATTTCTTTCTCCTATCGCAAAACACAAACAGCTTTTGTGCTCTAACATGCAAACCTTTCTCCTCTCCTTTCCCACCAGCAAAAGGTGGTGTGGCCTTTCTATCCATCCCTTCTTGCTTGTCACCTTCCTGCTTACACCACCTTGTCTTCCAATATCTCCATCTCACTGTGCCTCCCACACCTCCAGCGTGCCAATGCCCAAAGGTTCTTTCTCTCCTCCTTCTCCTCACCATCCTCTGGCCTTGGGGTTTTACCTTCTGCTTCCTCTCCAAGTGCTCCCCTTGGCTCCTGCCACCCCACTCCCTCCCCCAGCAGTCACCTACCCTCTCTTTGCCCTGAGGCTCAGCCCCTCTCATTTTTGGGAGCAGTAAACTTGCTGCTCTAGTAAAAAGTGCTGCCTCAGCTTGCAGAAGGAGACAAATGGTTTGTTGATAACAAGTCTAATGAGGCTGTTTTTAAAGCAGCCTGGAAGTCCACAGCTGGTTGTCAGTAAACCCATTTCTATGCAGAGCTCCATGTCCCTGCGCAGAAGGAGCTCTGGAGGCGATCCTTGGATTTATTTGCTCTGTGGATTTCTCAAGAGCTCTCCAGCCCACGTGCCTCTACCACACTGGCACTGGCGTCATGGGACTGTCACCCCTGCATTTCACCCACATCCATAAACCAATGCTCCTTCTAAAAAGCAGGATGAGAGCTTGCCTGAGAGGTTGGGTGCGGCAGCTTCTCGGGGTTAATAAATAGCTGTGGATTTGTGCTGGGCTGCTTCCACTCAAAACAAGGAAGATCAACAAGTGGCAAGAGGGGAAGGCAAACAGTCGTGCCCACAGCTGTGTGCTAAGGGCTGGGCAGAGAGTGGGTAAGAGAGCTTGGCATATTTCCATGACCTCAAGGGGCAAGAAAACTCTGCAAGCAATGCTGTGGGCTCCTGGTGAAGCTTAAAAAGCCAGTAAGGCTCCTCGGCATCTTCATCTCTACAGAGCCACAGCGAGGCATCCACACTGCGGCTCATCTCAGATCCCAGCTCCTCTGATCTCTCTGATCTACAGCCTCATGGCACAATGGGTACAGAGAAGGACTTGGCTCACCCTGACAGTCTCCAGAGACAAACCTCTGAACAACTGAAGTGAGATCTCCTGCCACCAGGCACTGATGCATCATTCATTACCACTTGGAGCTGGGAAAGGGGAAGGGAGGGAGGTGCTGAATATCAGACCACAACATTTGCTTCTGATCAAAACCAACTGAATCCAAAGCATTGCAGTTGGAGTGATACTTTTATCTGTGCTGGGCTGGGGTTACTTTAGGGCTTCTAACTTCCCTGATCCTGCTGCTGATCTCTTCTCCCCCAGCATCCAGCACACATGATTAGATGCAAGCGCCTTGCTTGCACTCTGGGAGGCTGACCTTGAGAAGCCTGAGATGCTAGAAATGACCCCTGGAGGGATCCATGAGTTGTGTGACCCCGTTGCAGCCCAGCAAGCTGTGTTTGCTGAGGATCTGGCCTGCTATGGGGTAAATAAAGATGGGGCATGATGCCACACTCCTGTTCAGAGTGCTTGGCTGTGACGTCTGTCACACAGAACCTGCCTTGTATGTCACGGTTTCTGCCCTCACCTTACTTCACGTGTTTCTTTCTTCACAAATTCTTTGGTGCAGGGGTGGAGGTTTTTGACATTTTTTAGTAAATGGTTGTCACCATGAAATAGCATTTCCCTGCAGAAAGAAATGTAGAAGGCTGTAGCTAGCATGCAAAAGGCCAGGCAGACATGCCCGTTTTCCCAGATGTGGCTGAAACCAATAAAATAGGGCATGAGGAAGGAAACAGCTTCACAGCAATATTCAAGTGTACCAAGGATATATCTGTCTTCCACTGTGGGCATTAAGCTGCTGAAACCCGAGGAAATGCTAGGGTGTGCTAAGATATATACTGAAACAGCTCATGCACTTGGGTTACAAAGGAGATACTGCTTTATTAACAGTATGAATCTGTCAGAAGCAGGTGACCTTTATGACAGGGAATTGAAAATGCTATTTCTGATAATGAAAACGATAATTCCTGAAGTTGCTAGATGTTTCAGTTATTTAAAGGAAGTGTAAAAGCTGTGACCCAGGAATCACTTAATGGCATCAGTGCACTGATGGCCCTTGAGGAAACCTGTGTCCCACTGGCTGAGGTAGGGCTCTGCTGTCAGGGGTCCCAGAAGAGACTCAGGGAGAGGAAGGTGCAGCCTCACTCTTCTCCTTCCTACACCACCTTAGTCAGTCCCTTTAGAGCACAGTCCTAGAAAGGCCGGACTTAAAGTGCCTACTGCTCAAATGTTCTTACATTTAATCGCAGAGGAACAGGAGAAGTCTGTTTAAAGGGATATCTATCCTCAGGGCATTTCTTGCTCCTGTTTTCTCTGAACTTCTGGGAAAAATATTATTGACGGTAAAAGAAAAGAAAACATACTTCTGGGGGAATAACCATAACACCCAGCCTGGCTAGGGTGTTGTGAAGATCCCTGCAGTAGCTGTGGCTAAGAAACACAGCTGCCTTTCTGAACATCCCAGTCTTCCCCAGGACAGACCTGCTACCGCCCCAGCATCTGCACTGCCTCTCACCGCCCATTCCAACAGCAGCTCATGAGAGCATTTGGCATCCCTTCAGCCACTTGCTAGCTCTGTCCTCTGCCTCTGAGGGACATTTTGTTTCTATTTTCCCCCTGCCACAGAGTCACAGCCACTGGGGAGCTCCAAAACCAGAGCAGAGTTATTTCTACCTGCTCAGCGTTACCTCTGTTTGGGTACCACGGTTACATCCCATCAGCTACCGCCTTCTCAGTCCAAAAGCCAAGGATGGTTTTTGACAGCCATCTTCTATTCTCCTTTCTCTGATTTGGAGCAAATTTGCCCATTTGCCTTCCCTCACCACTGCCTCTCTTTTTCATGCTTGAGTCTGTGTCCTCTAGATCTTTGCAGACAGATGCCAAGCCCACGCCTCTGTTCTGGTGTAAGGCCCTGGGTGACTTCTGGACTTTGCCCTTCTTTCCACCCCATGTTAAGGATAGTGAAGGGTCCAGCCTCTAAGAACTTCGCGGGTGGCAGACACTACTCTATCCTGTCACCAGGGGATGGGTCAGCCCTGTTCTCAGGCTGTCCTGCCCTCACTGCTGCAGCAGCAAGGGACCACATGTACCCAGATACTGATGGCAGCCTCTTCCACGGGAAAGATGTCAATTGTTAAAAGCAAAGACAGACAAGGAAAGGCTTAAAAAAATAAGGAGGAAGCCAGTTTTTTCTTCCCTTGCTGGATCAAGGTGTGGGGGATGATAAGGGACTTGCTCCCCCACTCATACTAGCCTGCTGCTTGACTGGATTTGCCCTTTGCTTTGTGGTGATGCTTTGCCCCAGGATGATTTAAGTTATTAAGTGCCTCATCCAGGCAGCAGCAGAGCCTCCTGCACAGGCAATGGATGAGAGCTCGCCTCCCATCTTGGGGAACGAGAAACTGAGGCAGGCACCACAAGGCTGGTGCTGGGTGAGTCCAGGATACAGGGCTGCAGACTTGTCCCTGAGCCTTTCTGATGGAGACCCTGACAGTGCTGGGAGCAGCCTCCTTGCAGTGCTGGGTGCTCACAGTCCAGCTCACAGGAGCTGTATGGGGTTAATTGATCTGCTTCTGTGACGAAGCCCGTCTGCACCCTGGCCTTCCTCTAAATGCTGCCTGCCAAAACAAATCAGCCAGCTCCTCTCCGGGCCACCCAGCCGCCCCGGGCTCTCTGCACATCCATTCAGTTAGTTTTGCATCTGGCAGGCAGGGAAGGGGAGGGCAGCCCAGGCCCCTCTCTCCTGGCAGCTGCCAAGGGGCTGCCTGTTTGCCAGGCACCATTCCTGTCGGGCTGCTCTCCCCTGCAGCTATCAGAAATAATAACCTGGTCCCATTCCCATCACGGGCTGTGCTCCATGCCATCAGCCTCTCCAACAACAAGCTTTGTATCCCCCCAGCCCCACACTGTGGGAAGCCCCCTGCACTCTCTGCCACCTTCTCACCATTCCCATGATCCTGGCAGGTCTCCAGAGTATCTTTTGGGATTTATAGGGCTCGGGGTGGGGGAAGCTGGCCACGAGCTCTGGTATTTTAATTACGGAGAGGGCAAGAAAGAAACAGGCAGGATTGCCCTGCACTTTGTAAGCTTCTTACCCCCTGCAACTTGCCAGCTGATGGTTGATCCTGGCTGGCTGCTTCTGACTGTTCCTGCCTGACCATCCAATGCTGCTGTGTCCTATCCTGATGATCTCTAACAGCCAGGATCCCAAATAAGGGACCTAGTGCCGGCGTGCCTGCAGGTGCAGCATGAGCCAAAACAGCCCTGTGTTGCCTGCCTGTCACCCTGCTGCCGCGGTACAGAGGAGCCTCTGAGGGTACTTGGAGCAAGTAAAAGTGCCTCTTCCCCACCTGAGGTAACATCCCAGGCTCTTCAGCTCTTCCCATCCCCATCCCCATTGTCTGCAGCCTCTCATGTGCGTGGCAAAGATGTGTTTCACATCAGGCACACCCCCAAACGCTTCCCCCCTGCCTGGTCAGCCCCTACCCCGAGCCTCACGCTCTGTACTCACTTTCAATGAATAGGCCAAGGCGATGAAGCCGAGGCAGCAGAAGTTGAGGTATACAAAGTTGAAGATGGACCAGAGATAGTAGTCGTTCACCTCGGTGGTGTCAGGGTAGATTTCGATGACAGTGGTGGGGTTGGTCATGGTCTTCTTCTCCACCGAGTGCTTGCACGGGACCGCTGGGCGCAGGCTGTCCCCTTTGCAGCTCTTGCTCTCCATGAGATAAACGGCAGAAGAAGGAGACAGGACGGGAGAAGCTTGCCGGAGAGCGGGGGGCTTGGCGATGCAGGCGAAGCAGCCCTGGGGGGGGCCCTGCGGGGGTCTCGGGGTCCAGGCCACCCCCTCAAAGGGGCATGGCGGGCCCAAGGGGGGGTCCTGTGTCCTCTCCGTGGTGGCTGCCGCGGCGTCACCGCGCTCTGCCCTGGCAAAGCGGAAAGCCCCCCCGTGAAAAATGGGGGTGAGGGGATGGAAAGGCAGGGGTCAGGGGGAGAAGAGCAAGGGAGGGAAGGAGCAGAGAAAGGGAGACGCGGGGGGAAGGCAGGAGAGACAGAGAGGGACCGGGAGACCGAGGAGAGAGCAGGGAGAGGAGTGAGGGAGTGGGCAGAGGAGAGAGGGAGGAGAGTAGGGCAGGCAGGAGAGGGAGGAGGGAGCACCGCTACACCCGGGGACCACGACGCCGCCGCCTCGGCGCGGAGCTGCCGCCGGCCCCGGCCCCGCGGCGGGGGCAGAGGCGCGGGCAGGGCGGGCAGCATCCCTCCCCCGCTGCCACGGCCTCCCCCCGCCGCTGCCCGCTGGCCTGCGTGACCCGCCTTCCAGCCACCACCGGGGAAATATTTTTTCTTTTCCTTTTTTTTTTTAAAGGAGACAAATAAAAGCAGAAAGAAACACTTGGGAGGCGCCGGGGGGCTGCGAGGGAGTTGCCAGCGGGGCGCGCTGCAGCCCCCCGCAGCTGTCCCCGCCCGCCTGTCTGTCTGTCGGTCTGTCGGGGCCTTCTCCTTTCTGTCCCATGCCGGGATGGGAGCTGGTGGCTCGGCTGCGGGCGGAGCGGGTCTCCCGGTGCGGCAGAGCATCCCGCCCCTCCGCCCTCCCTCCCTCCCTCCTTCCTTACTGGGGGTGGGTATTTTGAGGGGGGATTTTTTTTTCCCCTGAGTCCTAGTCTTTGCGGAATTCCAGATGTGATTCCATTTCCCGGTTCCTTCCACCTGCCAGCAGGTTTCCCATACCCCCCTCCCCCCATCAAATTTTTTTTTTTTTTTTTAGGATATCGTGACTGGGGAGGTGGAGGAAGAGGAGGAGGGGAAGAGGGCATGAAGACAGAGGATGGGGAAGGGTATATTAGAAGAAGTTCCCCTCCACCCTAGCTTTGCAAATAGGAGAGACTAGTCCATCTCTGGCTGCCCGTCCGTCCGTCCATCGCTCTCCTCCGAAAGCATCAGGAGGAGCGAGGGATACTCACAAGGAGGGATGCGGGGAGTCGCTGCATATCCGGCTCAGCACTGCCTCCGGCTCGGCTTCCTCGGCGCTGGAGTTGAAGGAGGAGGGGAGGGCGGGGAGGGGGGCACCCATGGACAAGGGATGAGCAGGGAGGGAGTTAGGGGATGGGAAGGTCAACCTGCAGCCCCCTCTCTCCCCCCGAACATGCTTCACGCAGGAGAGCTCCTCCGTGTCTCAGCCCTTCTCCTCGTGTCCCCCCCACTGGGACGTCACCTCCTGCTTGGAGCATCCTGGTAGCGCCCCGCTGGAGAAGGGCATCTCCTGGGCCCCGGCCGAGCGGCTTCCCCGAGCATCAGAAGGGGATGCTCGGCCCTTTCTCCCCTTGGTCACCCACAGAACCCTTGGTAGCGGACACTCGCTGCAGCCTTGTTTGCGGGTTCACTGCTATGGACATAGTGAAAAACTAAAACAAGTGTGGCAGGAGTGCATGGGGACAGCCGGAATTAACAAGGGGAGGTGGTGGTGATGCAATGCTGTGGGGAATAGTGGGCTCTGGTCTGGAGGGGATGAATGGAACGGGGATAAATCCTGTGTGTGAGGTAATAGATCCTGCTGGCATGGAGCAAATCCCAATGCAGGCAGGGGTGGGAGCACTCCGGCAGCAGAATGCATCGGCATGTGGCTGCTTTAGGGGAGGGGACTGGGGGTGTCACGAAGGCTGGTCAAGCCCAGGAGGGCTTGGCTGTGCCCAGGCTTCGCACAAGATCGGGGATGTGCTTGCTGCCTCCCATTGCTGACACTCTGGAAGCTGCACGGAATCCCAGCTCTAGGGTGCTGCGGTAGCGTCCCCCCAGGGACGTAATGATGGAGAGCAGCTGGTGCCGTGCAGGGACAGCCTGCAGGTCATTCAGGAGGATGCAGCCGTGGCACAGGGAGGGTGAGGACACAAGGACACGCTGTGTCACCCCACAGTGACACAGCCTGGCGCAGGTGGCCTTGTTGCAGCAGGCAGTTCAGGGGAAGGTAGCAGAGAAAAAATCCCAGAGTACTGGAAACAGGGTGGGTAGAACAAAAGTTCGTGTGAGCAGAAACTGCAAGGGAAGGGAAATCCTTTGGAAAAGCCTTAAGCTTACCCACAAAGTGCTGAGCTAAGAAATAATGATGGTAATTTACTCAGCTCTTCACAGGCAGGTTTGGCTCCAGTGTAGGGGCACCCACCCTGTGTTCATCCCTGTGGGTTGGTGTGATGTGGGGGAACTTTTTGCACACCTACAGATCTCTGAGCCTAAAGGAGGTCCAGTTTCCACGAGACCAGTTTAATCCTTCTGAAGGTGCCTGCATTGGTTAAAAAAGGACAAATTGCCCTCTGGTTCAGGATTTATCGCTGCTGGAGTGGCGTTGGGTCCTGCCAAAGTAAAGGTTTTATTAGTGCTACAGCTGCCTGTGATGAGACCCAGGTCTCTCTCCAAGGAGCTGCTAAGAAACAGAGGCAGTGCTAGGGTGAGAGTGATGCTCCTGTGGGATTAAGAGGTTTGCAGGAGAGGCAGAGCCATGGCCAGCTGTCGTCAGCTTTTCTGGAGGGCTTGGACAAACTGAGCGGTGCAGAGTATCCTCCCCGCAGGCTCAGGAGAAACAATGAAACCCCATGGATGCTGACTGGAGCTATGATGAGCCTGCTGTTCATTTGCCTGGGGAAAGTTGTGTGGGTAAGGCTGCTCCTCTTCTTAATGTCAGGCAGGGATGGAGGGTGAGCAGAGAAAAAGGTCAGAGGGGTTTTGGAGCAGGTAAGAGGAGGCAGCAGAATGATGTAGGGAAATGTGAGATCAACAGAGACAGTCCCATTCCCTGGTATGAATAGGACTGAAAGGTCAGGGAGGTTGAGTAACTGCTTTTCCTCTTCTCCAGGTACCAGGTCATCCCTACAGTTTGCAGAGCACTTTTTGGTCTTTGGCTTAGTGATTCATCATATTCCTCGATGTTAAGTGTGAGAAGTGAGAGGTTTATTGCGTGGACCACAGTGGCATATATGCAGCATCACTGGTTCAAAAACCATCCATGTGACCCTTCCCCCAGGGAACTGACATAAAAAATGGAAGAAATAAAACTCCTCAATATTCTGCATTATTTTAACCCTCGTCCACTTTTCTAGGGATCTTCAAAGGTCCATGCATGCCCTCAACCACATGGCCTAGGACTACTTCCTTTCAAATAAAAGGTGGGGTGAGTATGAATAATTGCCTGCGTTACTGTGGCGTCAAGGCTGGCTTCCCCTTGTGCTAAGCACGGGACAAACAGAACAGAAGGATGCTTCCTGCCCCAAAGCAATTCTCCCATAATCACGTCAGAGACATGTGGGCTGTAGCATAATCAAATACTGTAAGACCTGTGAGAAAATCTTCCATCTCAAATCCTACTCAAGCTCTTCAGAAAACCATTATCACAACCTGACCCTGCTTTTCCTTTTTTCTTTCTTTTTTTTTTTTACTTATTTCTAAAGGAAAAAGTCCACAGCCTCCTGAATGTTCCTTTCCTATTAACCCTATCAAATTCCTCAATGGATTGCTAAGTTCCATAAGCAGTAAGGCAGCCTGAGACTTGGAGGGGTAAATCACATCTTCCCACTCTCCCTTGATCTCTGTCTCCTGTTCTCTGAGCTTTCATCCTGCACTCTGCTTCTCTTCTCTCCCAAAGAAACCTAAAAATAAATAAATCCAAGAAAGAGCGGAAAAAGGAAAAGCCATCAGCCCCCAAAATGATGTGCTTAGTCATTCATGGTGAATAAAAATAGGTTCCCAAATGAACAAATTGCTGAGCCAACCAGATGAGCAAGTCATCTCCATAAATGAGGGGTCTCATCTTCCCTCTCCTTGGGCAGGTCCTTGTGTTAATGGGCTTTTGGTAAAGCCCTAAACAGAATTACTTGGAGAAGGATCAGGTCCACGACGACAGCACTGGGGATCAGTGCCCTGCACCCTACTACTTAAGGGGACATGTAATGAACAATTTGATGTTCTTTGCATCAATGGAGACACTTAATGAAGAGTGAAATACCATATTGTCATGTGCATAGAGTTCTGCAGAGATGGTGCAGTAAACAGGAGGGCTGAAATAAACCTAAGGACTTTCTGGGCAAGATAGTGTGGGACTGCATTCAGGCTGCTCCTGGGGCAGGGTGTACTTTGCTCCCTGCTGGAAAAGCATGGGGGGGCAATTCTGGCTCTTGGTTTCTCCTGCCCTTGGCCAGGAACAAGGCTATGATTGCTCCCACTGGGATGTAACGTTCAGCACACAAGGCACGATTGAAGAATTAGGCAGAATCCCCCAGCAGAAACAGGGCCCTCATATTCCTGTCAATAAATATTTGGCAGCAGATGACTTGTTCTCCCCTTGGGCTATTGAGGAACAGTGGGCTGCATGATTGGTTTTCAGGATCCAGCCAGCCCTTTTGGGTTAAATCCATCTCTTTAACACAGGAGAGCAGCTGATTGGGGAATTTAGGCATCCTGGGGAAACAGGGGCTCAGGACATGCCAGTAGGGAAATCAGCTAAGCTGTTTGCTTAGATCTGCTCTCAGAAGACGGGATGGGACTTGGCTGCATCCATCTTGCTTATGTAGATGATGCTTTTTTTCAAAGTAGGATTAGCTCTTATCTTCCACCTGGCACATGGGGTCTTCATTCCACTTCAGTCTCTAGCTCCCAAACAGCAGTGCTAGGACTAAAAATTACACAGCAAGGCAAGAGGGATGGATTTTTCCTACATTGTTGAAAAAACCCTACACTGTGTTTATCACTGGGCTCCAGGACTTCCCCAGACTTCACACCTTAGTTGATTTTAGGCCAAACTTGGAAACTGAAGTTCCGTTTTGGCTGCTACAGGACCACTCCAAATCCTAAGCAGGAACTTGCTCTAATCCTAAGCAGGAACTTATTCTAACTGGTCCAGAGACCAGGGGACAGCCTGAGTTCCCTGTTAATGGACTACCCTTGGCAACACTCAAGTGCAAAGGTGCAGAAGGCTGTAGGCTAGCAGGGATGCTGGGAGTGCCTGCTGCCCCAGTGGTGCTGAATCAGGCAGGTGGCACTGTCATGTCACCTTGCAGAGGCTGAATTATGTTTAATCCTTTGGAAAAGACAAATTCAATAGGGTCCTAGCATGTTTCCTTATCTAAGAGAAAGGGAGGAGCCCTTCTGAAACACACATGAATCCACACAAGTGGGCAACCAGATGTCCAGGGACAATAGGTCAGGGAGACAAAGTCTCTGCACACCCACAATGAGTCTGGCATCTCAAACTGCAAAAGGAAAGACCACTCTCAGAGTTAAAGGGGAAAATACTGTATTTTCTTTTCAATTTTCTATGAAGAGACAATTAATTCTGACAGCAAAATAATTTTTTAAAACCAGTCACATGATTAGAGATGGGTTTAAAAATGCAAATAAAACAACAAGGGGAGGACACCCATTCAGGGAAGACTGCAGTGAACTGGTCCTCCAGCCTATCCTACAGTGTGTCACTCAGGGCATCGCTCTGGGCCACGCTTTCCCCAGGCAGCTGCCTCCTGCCTGCTGGCAGGTATCAGCCCACCTGGAGTTTCTGTGCCGGGACCAGCACAGCCATGGCCCAAGCACTCTGCCTGGGGCTGTGCTGCACATCCCACTGAAATCTGATGCTGAAGATGTTCAAAAGCCACTGCCAGGTCAATGCCAAGCTTCCCCCTCACATCAGGCCTGTTCAGCAGGTACCCAAGGGGCCAAATCTGTCTCCCCGTGCTGAAGAAATCTTGCGGCTGGGAAACGATGTAGCAGAACTTGAAGGAGCCCTGGGCACTTAACTGGTATGAAACTGAAGATCTCTGGAGAGGTGCTGAATATTAGCTAATTTTGGAGCAGCTACTGAAGATTTTTTTTCTTTTTGGTAACATGCTACTGTTCTCTCGCCAGTCTAAAAGAGTTGTCCTTTGGTGTCCAGATGTGGAGTTCCAGGTGAAGATTACGAGGAGGCAGAAGCAAGCTTTGTGGAGCAGCATTTGTCACATCTGGGGTTGTAGAGGATAATATATGTGTCCCATGTGTGCCTACACCTGTCCCCACTGTCAATGCCAGATCCCTCCAAGGTGAATGGTTATAATGCCAAACTTACTTCACTGGGCAAAACCGTCTATTCACTCACTGCCCGAAGACCTTCCTCAAAAAATTTCTTGGCCCCACTACTACTGCTGGCAGGATTATCAGTGAATTTTGGGTAGCCAGGATCTTGCCATCTGCTTAGCCTGGTCTGGGGTCATGGCCGCCACTAATCTTATCCTTTTGCCACTCCCCTAACTTCAGGACCTGATCCAGCACACTGGGAAAATGAAGTCTTTTACTCCCAGCACAGGGGCTGGGATTCTTGGCAGGCTCTCTCCTGCTCTCCAGTACTGATTAAAACTCATTTTATCATCCTCCCAGCTCCACCAGTGTTTGCCTACCAGTGCCAGCCCAGCAAATGGCTCCACATGTGCAGATCCTGGCTCACTGGGAGGATCTGCGTGCACAGCTAAATCAGCTAAATTCGAAGCAGGATTGTGCCTCACTCTCTCTGCAACACAGCTGGACATGAACAGAGCTCACCAGTGTTAGAACAGTGGAAAGCAGGTACACAGGGTGTTAAAGGTGTTGGATTTTGGGAGAGGGCAGCAGGGAAAGTGAATCCAAGTCCAGCAACTGCCATGGTATCCTCATGCCCAGGAGGTTTGCTGGCTCTGCCAACTGTCTCTTGAGTTTTGGGCAGTTCAGAATGCTGTGAATCATGTTTCCAAAAGCTCTTATGAGTCTGACAAACATGGATTTTACCAGTATGGTTTCAGCTTGCAGATCACTTAGTTGCTTCAGGAAACATTATTCTCAACTCACTGGCTGTGGTTGAAGCCGGGAAGATTTGCTGTTTGGGGAACCTGGGAGAAGGTCACTAAACTCGAGAGAGAACTTGTGCCACATGACTTTGCTCAGCAGAAGGCTGGACCTTCATGGCCCTGAATTCAAGCAACCTCTATTATAACCTATCTTGACCCCTTAATATTCATACTGACTGAAAAGTCCCCCTGGACTGGCTAGAGCCCCCCCCAAACCCCTGTCCCACTATGTCAGGCATGTGGATATCATGCCTCCCAGCTCTCCCACTAGTGCCAACACTAAACAAGACACCATCACAGCCCTCAGGCTCTGAAACTCATCCCTTGGGCACACTACTGTGCTTCCCCAGCACATGCTCTCCTAGGACCAAGCCAGCACAAACTTCTTGCAAAATGACCTACTGGTCACTGCCTCAACCTGCCAAGGAGGGGTCATAATGACACATTCTCTCAGGCCATCCACTCCCCCACTTCATGAGTGAAAAAGCAATAAGAACTAATGTGCAAGACAGCCTTCCCTTGTCCTTCTCCCCCAGCACAGAAAACCAAACACAAGAGCAGTAGCACAGCCTCTCTGCATGAACAGATGTGCCAGGGGCTGGTTTCAGCCAGGTGCCCTCCCCCACCTGCAGGAAGGACACCAGCACTGGGAGATGTGAGAGGGCCTTGTTCAGCTCTGAGAATCATTCTCAAAAAGAACTACTGGAAGACCTAGCAGTAAAGCAAGGGACTACTCCAGCTGGAGTTGTCAGCTAGAGACCTCCCAGCACCACTTACTCAGCAGAGTGGAGAAAGTAGCTAGCAGGGCACTATGACTATTTTCCATGTAATTTTAAATCTAGTTCCATTTCTTTCTCTTTTTTTTTTTTTTTTTTCTCTCCTTTCCACTCACTGGGTTTCTAATACTGGTAACCTTTCTCTACAGCTCCCATGTGTGTGTGTTTAAGTGTGTGTGTGACAGAGGCAGTGGGGGTCAGGTGTTTAGGCACTTGTTGCAAAGCCAACACGGTTGTTATCACGGTCAAAGGCGGAGTAGTAGGGTCCAATAAAGACATCTCCCAGGATCCAGAGTGGGCCTCCAGGGGGTGGGATGTCCAGGCCTGAAAAGCCACTCATGCATATAGTCTCTCCTGATGAAGAAATCTAGAAAGAAGAGTGAGAGCTTCAAATTAAGCAGGTCATTCCCTTCCCTCAACCTTGCAAGCTTGGCAAGAACACCTGCAAGGCTGCCTTTGCTTCAGCCTCTCCCAGACTGAGATCCACAGATTGCAAAAGTGAGTCCCAACCCACTGCTTCTACGACTCCAAACCCAGCTCCCTCTCCCTTAAGCACTAAAGCACCAAGCAAAGCTGCACATGACCATAAACCTCCCAGCCCACACAACTCGGAATTAGAGCCATTGGTGAACGTCTGCACAAGATGGTCCTTGCAAGCTGATTCTGATGGCTTAAATGACAGTCTGGTGGCCTCTGCTATAATAAGGCTGGCCTCATTGCACCAGAATGCAGCAGAAAAGCACTGAATGTTTGTAGAAAGTGCGGCAACAGCTTGCCTCCCCTTCCTTAACCATCCTGCTATCCTTCACAAGCATTATGCAGGGGGTCTTATTCCTGTGAGACTTTGATGAGGTTACCTGGATCCATCTGCAGTGCCACCACCCTGACAGCCCAACCTTTCAGACTTTTTCCTGAGCACCAGCTCCAGCACTGCTTTGGCTGCTCTTGTGTTTTGGTGCAGTGGAAGCAAAAGCCAGGCCTTGGGGAAGAAGCATAAGGATGGAAAAATCTCCCGGACGTACCTTGAGGACATACTGCTGTCCTGTGAGGACGAAGGCCTTGTCTCCTATTGTCATTGTGACGTTAGGCAGCGTTGGCACTTTTTCACAGGGGATAATGTACTGAAATTGCAACAATAAAGGCTTTAGATTGGACCTCCCACACGCTCAGTCTTCCTTGAGCACAGTCACATCTTTGTTGCAGTTTTCCCTAAAACCAGCTCATCTCAAGGTGCAGAAGCTCTAGCTGGGGTAAGGAGACTGCTCCCTGCATAGGGCTCCAAGCTGAGGGGCAAGAGGGCTTTATGGATAGGCATGAAGCCAAAGGATGTTGGATTCAGCTTTTGGCTCTGCTGTCCCAGGGCAGCGCAGCCACAGTTGGGGGTTTTTACCAGAGGAGAAGCAGCTGTGGCTCAGTACACAGACAAAGCCAGTTTCATTTACAAGTCTTGGGGATGATGGCAAGTCTTAGCCAACTGCTGCTACAGCTTGGGGTCTCTGACATTGCAGAAACGCCTGACAAATGCTCATGGCTCTGATTTGGGAAGGCTTTCAGAGCAGGCAATTTTTTTTCACGGTCTTTATAATCCATATTCTTCCACAATTTTAGGGAGGAGAGAGAGTCCTGTGAGATTAGCTTTGATGGTTGAAAACTTTCACGCAAAGTGTTGCCATTTGCATGAAATACACTTTTACTAAAGTGTCTCTGGACTCATATTAATGTGAATCTTTCGTCTCAGCTGCAACTCAGATCCCTTCTCTTCCACCTCCCAGAGATGGGTGGCAGAGGTGACTCAAAGCTTCCCAAAGTTCGTGGGACCAGGGCTTTCTACCATGAGCATGAGTAGGGTAGTGAATACTAGCAGTCAAAAGACGAAGGGGTCCCTGCCGTGCCAGTGGCTTTTCCAGGAGCACAGGCTGGGAACAAAGATCAGAGGGAGCAGAAGACTAGGGTCACAACAAGCATCTGGGTACAAAGTAGTATGTAAGCATAGATGTTGTGCTGGCCATAGACCCCCATATTTCCAGCCCAGCCTCACCTCGCCTTTTATGAGTGGTTTTGCACCAATGGCCTCCTGTATCTTCTTCACTTCTTTGGTGGGGCCAGTGATGAGTGAGGTTCCCGTGTCTACAATGGCCTCACAGCCCCCCTCACACACGGTCAGCCCGTTGGCAACATCCACCCTGGGGAGAGATACCTAGGCATTAGACAACCCTTAAAGGGCTCCCAGTGAAGGCTGCAGGAAGCAGGTACACAGTCAGGCAAGGGAGGGCTGAGACAGACACTCAGGAAGAAGAGATGCTCAGAAACACTGATGCAGCACCAACTCACCCTGGCTCCCTGTTGTCTGCTCGTGACCGAGCAGGTGCCTTGAAGTGTAACTGCATTTCTGCAGAGAGCCTGGATGCTGCCTGCCTACTCTGCCTGCTACCTGCACTCCAGAGCTAGCGCTGCAGCTAATGGACATGGGAGAGAGCTAAGGACAATGAATTATGAACTTCTATGGCCTGTGCTACTGCAGAAAAACAAAGGGTTAAAGGAGTGGTGTTACAGCCATGGGCAAGGGAAGGGTTCCTGTACAGAAAAAAGGCAAGCCAGGAGCAGCTTGGCTTCCTCACTCGCATCGCATTTCACAGCAGTGCAGAAAGACAAAGCCTTCTAGCCAAGGGTCTGCCATACTTTGCCAATGCTGCAGCTCTGGGGGAAAATGAGAACTAAAACACCACGCTGGGGAGGGATGCAATTCCCAGGAAAAGGACACACTCTGATCACAGGCCACTTTTAAGTTCCCATCACGTGGGAGAGCTCAGAATAGACCGTGGGGCTGGCGGCCGTCAGCTCAGCCTGCTCTCCTCCCCTCTGCCTCCAACAATGCGCGCTGATTGCTGCACCGTGCCCTTCAGTCAAGGGCTGGCTTCCTGAGGCCTCATCCTGCTCCTCCGGAGCTGTGTGCAGGACAGACATGCAGCTCAGGCCTTGCTGAGAGCTGAGCAAAACTGAGGTTCAATCTGTGGGGCTCGCCCTGTCTGCAAGGAGGACACACTGGCATTTTTCTCTGCTTCGCAAGGATGCAGCAGGAATCCTTTCAAGGGTCAAGGGTCTAGTCACAAACAAGAGGAAATGATTTTGCAGAACATCTCCTCATGGCTTCTGCCTCTCGTCTGCTTCCAGCAACAAACAACCCAACCCTAGAGTGGGATTTAATCTGCTTTTTTTGGTGTGGATATGCTGCAGGGATGATTCTTTTTAGAGGAGGGTCTCAGGCATATGCTGTGTGCACATGTGACCCCACGCACGTAGTCAGGTGGATCGGGAACTTACGAATCCATGTGGATCTGCCAGTAGGCCTTGCGTGTGACGTTGAACCAGCTGAACTCGCCCTTGTAATACTTGGGGTCAGTCCCTCCCAGGACCATCTCACCGCCAGGGACACCAGAGGGATCTCTGAAAAACAATACCCAAAGCTGTGAACATCAAGGGCAAGGCAAGAACAATCTGCTTCAAGTGCCCCATCAAAATACCTGCTGGGGTGCTTGGAGATGAAGCATAGCACTAACAGTATTGGAGCCAGATAACTTATGTTGTGCTATGTTATGTCAATATAAGGACAGATACTGTGATATAGGCTGGAATGGGGAAATAGGAATATTTGGGCTCAGCCAGAGCATCCTGCAGCTTTCCGCCTGGTAGTTTCTCACAGAAACCTGAAGAAACTCGCAGTAGGGAAGAGGGATGGCAAAGAGAAACTGAGCACTGACACAGGGACTTCCCAAATCAGCTTGTAAAAAGTGCCTGTGCAGGGCAGGACACAGCTGATGCAGGGCTAGGTTATCTGCACTCAACTCTGCCAACCAGCAGCCTTGGAGTGAATCCTCAAGGTTACCATCAGATAAGAGCTCACTGCCGAGCAGATGGGAAGAAATATGGTGATGGGGGAGGGCTGCTGCTTGAACGGCTAGCAGGTGCCCTCTCTGCTCTTGGTGTGCTACTTTTTGGGCTGAAGTAGTTTAGAGTTGCTGCTGCGGTGCCAGAAAAGTGATGGGGTGTCCTGCGGGGAGCAGCAGTGGGTGGGAAGGTGCTGGCAGCTGCAGAGGAGGATTTCCCAGGGTGGAGAGAGAGAGCACTAGCCCTCTCATTAGTGATGACTGATGAGTGGCACCCTTGCCTGGGAGGCAACATGGTGGTGGCCACATGGCTTATGGATTTTGGCAGCAGACTGGGGCTGTTTACCTCTCTAAAGGTGACTGCATTAGCAGCAAGCTCATGATCACAGCCCTGTTTATTTTTATTTCTCTTTCCTCTGAAACACCCTCTGTCTACTCATCAGTTAAGAAATCTGGTCACAGATCCACCCAGCTTTTTATCAGTAAAAGAACTGCATTTCTACTTCCCTTCTCCTTACTTCAGAGTTGCACACGTAAGAGATTTTGGCCTGACTGCTCCTGCAAGAACTTGCTGTGACTTCTCCAACTGAAAAGTGTTGTCCAGAGTGTAAAACAGCAGATGACAAGAGGTGCTACTGGGAAAAAAAAAGCCCTCTGGGTTTGCCCTCACAACCAGAGGTGTGCCACCAAATCCAACACTACCTGTTTAGGTAGAAAGAGAACATATTTTTCTCGACCAGCTTCTGTTTCATGACGTTATCGAAGAAAGGCTCGGCGCCCTCCACAGAGATCTTTGGGAATGCCAGGCCCAGGATGCCATCAAACTTGGCAGCGATGAATGTCATGCCTGGCTGCTTCGTGGCCTCCCCAAAGATTTGATGCTGGATTTTCAAGTCACCAAGCTGTGGGGAGATGGGGACGGAAGGGAAAAGAAGATTGTAAAGAAAATTGTCTCAGGGGACCTGGGTGGTAATGGAACCTCACTGAATACAGGCTGTAGCACGTCCCCCAATGTGCTGCCACACTCCTGCCTGCTTTCACCATTGCATTTGCAGGCAGCTGCAGAAACCAGATACCCTGGTGCCACTCCTGTCAGGGGAAGAGACTGGCAACTCCGGCTCAGTGGAACCTCCTAAGTCCCTGCAAAGCCCAGCATACTTCTAAGGGGAGGAGAATCCCTTTAGCCTTTTGCAGTATCCCAGCACTAGCCTTGCTGTTCTGCAGCCCCTCCTCTCTCACAGAGGACCCATATCCATTTGTCCCTACTACATCTTCTCCTGTAACACTTACTACATCATTTCCTCCCAGTCTGAAAAGCTCTTGTGCTACGCCTTTAATTCTCTTCCCCTCTCTAGACATCTTCTAAGTTCATCTGTGTATCCTACCTCCATGAGTGCTGCACCTATCCTCGGTTGGGAGCACAGATCCCTCTCACCTCTGCCCACAACCCCTGTGATCCTCCCTATGTAAGAAACATCCCCGGGATATTGCTGAATCTCTTGGAAGAGCCACCAGCCCGCAGAGACCTTCCGTTAAAGGGGAGAAGACCCAGCCAAGAAAGTGAGGTTGAGCCTGAAGCACAAAAATAGCAAGCAGAGTACTGAGAATTCAAAGGTCACCTCCCTTGCCAGCCATGAGAAGGACTGGCATTCCCCAACGGAAAGCTGAAACGCCTTCCAAGGGCAGATCCCCAGAAAGAAGATGATCAGAGAAAGGAGGATAGCTCTGCTGATGGGGAGCAGGATGCATCTGCTGGCTTCTGGCTTTAGCAGTTCAGGAGGCTTGTGAGCTTCTGGCTGACCACAGGCAATTTTAGCATCCACGCTAGGACAATTTCAGCCTCTCAGCCTGCAGCTAGCAGCCCTGTAGTGAGCCAGGCTAGACTGACAAGCTGGCCTCTCCTACCTGATGGCAGATAACGATCCCTGTAAATTACTAATATCCCCCCAGGGTTAGCCAGTGCGAGGCTGGGACAGCAGCGCTGCCTTTAATGGTATTGGAGGATTGCACTAGGAAAGGGCGATCGAGCCTTGCGAAAGCTGAAAGCCACAGGGCAGGATGTGGGGGGAAAGCGCGTGGCAACGCATCCGCCAGCCCGCCAGCGCCTGCCCAGCTGTACGCTCCAGGTTTACAAAAGACACCCCTCGGCACCGCTGCTCCTCAGCAGCTCACAAACTTCAATGAAGCTTCTACTTAAAAAAAAAAAGCAAAATGCAACGCACTGATAACACTGAGTGTCAGGTTTGTTTGACTATTGCTCTGCTTGCACATCCCAAGGGGGAGGCAGATTTCTGCCCAGTCATGGATTCTCAGCAGACCCTGCCTGCACTTGGTCCTCAGCAGGGCTGAAACCCAAGACCATCTATAGCAGAGTGCTCCTGCCAGGTGACAGATCCTTTGTCTCTGTCTCTTGGCTGGCTCTCACCCCGAGAGCAACCGAAAATCATGACCAATAGATAGATGGCTGTGTGGTGGCCACTCTCCAGCACTTTGCAGATGGGCGTTGGCACTCCACAGCTCGCCTGGACTCCTGGTTAGTGGCCTCAGCCAGCAGTTAAGCACTGGAAAGCAAAGGTAGACCAAGAGGTGAGGGCCTCTGTGGCACAGCTTAGCACCAGGGCTTGGGGTGCAGAGGCACAAGGGAGAAGCAAGGAAAGTAATCTCCTGTGCAGTGTATCTGCACTGCAGTCATGGGAGAGACTTTGTGCCCTGTGGCCAGCTAGGTTTCCTTTGCTGTCCTTGAAGGACTTCCCAAGGTTGGGCTGTGATAAAGAGATGAGATGAGATGCCTGAGCAGCAGAGGGCTGGCTGAACCTGCTGCTCTTTGGAGAGTAAGCAGCACTGTGGAGTATGGTGCTACAGGGCATCACTCCTCCACAGAACAAGAGAGGATGTTTGACATGAGCTCATCACCCTTTAAAAAAAAAATTAGGGCTGAGGGACTCTAGACTACCTGCCAACAAACATCTTTTGGTCAGACGTCAGAGCTACGAGAGGTTGCTGTAGCTGCTTCCACCCACAAGAATGGCTGGAGCCAAGAGGGTCATCCTGAAGGTTATTTCAATGTCTTTCTTCCAAGCCTACCTGATTGGGAGCTTGCCTACAACATGTTGTGCATCAGAAGATGCATCCTGGTGTTCAAGCTGAAGGTCCCTGACCCTCAGAGTCACCCCCGCTCCTGCCTACTACAAGTGGGACACTGCTCAGCTCCATGCAAGAGGTTCCTCTTGCTTCTGTGCAGACAGAAACCAAAAGCTACAAGCTGTGCTGTCTGACAAGAGCCATTCCCGAACAAACTGAGGCACAAAATCCTTCCTCTGAGCTGCCAGGAAGTGGAAGGCTAATTAGCAAACAGGCATAAGGGTGACAATTACACATCAGAAAAAAGGAGAAAAAATGGCCATTTTCTTTCTGACTCATTTTAGCCCTTGCATTAAGCCCACACTTTCTAAGGACAATGAAGTTTGCTGTTTGCCTTGCTGCATCTTCGGATGCAGCCTAAAGGCAATAGCTGATGCTTCCAGGCTAGCCTAAAATCTTCATGCTGTAAGGATGGGCTAAAGACTGCGTATCTTGGAAAAGTCACACTTTTAGCTTCTCCTGGATACTTTTTGATTCTGATCAAATTGGAAAGCCAATACTTTTCAGCTGAACCTAAACAGAAACTTCCAGATCCTCAGATTTATGTGCTTATTCAAAACTTTTGCTTAGTTTCTCCCCCCCTGCAAAGCAAACATATGCTCTTATCCCTGCCAGGAGAGCGAGTAATCTGAGAGCACATGCACCCCTGACGTTTGGCAGCTGGCAAACTCTCTCGAGCATCTGTACCTGGGAGGAAGTCATGAAAGGCACTTGTCCTTCACAGGACAGAAAGCTCAGCCTTTGCTTGGTGAAAAACAAACTGTGAAGCAACCACCAGCCAGTTAACTCAAGCTGCACCCTGAACACTGCTTGGGAACCACCCCTCAGAGTGTTACCCAGCCTTTACAAGCATAAGCACCAGTTCTTGATGTGAGAACAGGATAGGGCAGTAAAGAGACCTTTTCTGGTTTGTGGCAGCTGCCCATGTGGATATCCACTAATGTGTGGATATGGGCCAAGAACAAGCTGGGCACCATCAGCAATAGTGCAGTGGTGTTGGCATGTGCTTGGGCTGGTAAGCTTTTGGGGTCACCAGGAAATATGTTGGAGGGATGGCCAGAGACCATGTTTGCAGGGGCACCATGTGAGCAATCCCTACTCCCACCCTGCTGACCTGCACATGAATACCTTCTCCCTTCACAGCATGCCATGGTTATTGTTACCTCAACAGTCATCATTTCCATGCCATTTCAAAGCACTTGGAAACACAGCACTGAAGGATGTTCTATACCAGCAGGACACTCAAGAAAGGAGACCCATTGAAATCTAACAGCACAGAGCATTCTACTGACAGCAGTCTGGGGCAGCATGGGGCAGGGGCAGCTGTAACTCACCGTGACTACATCTTGGCTGAGGAATCCAGAAAGGCTCCCTGTCCCATAGTGGATGGCAAACTTGGTGCCGTTCTTCACATAGGTGCTGGATTTAGCAGAGTCGTACTTGTGGTGCACCACTGCAGTTGGGAGGGAGACACACAGCATTAGTGCTCCTTTATACCTACAGTTCCCCAATACCTAACCCCACACCATCCAGCTTATCTGGACACTCAATGATGTGAAGGTGGGCCTGAACCTAGGGTTTGCCAAGCCCACACTGCTTAACAAAGCATTTCCAGTGTCTGGGGAATTAGGTGGGCAGATCCAATTCAGGCTGTTAAATCCGATTTGGCTACTGGGTATTAAAAGCCTAGAGGTTATGTGGCTGGTGTGGTGTGTTAGTCAACAGAGCAAAACGTATCCTTCCACATGCTGTGGAGAACCAGGGTGGCTTTAAATATAGTCTGCTCTGGGCATGAATGTTTTCATCTCACGGACTTATCACTTGTTTCTTTAAATAGGAGTAGCTGGAAACTTTTCATACACTGTTTTTAGTACAGAAAGAATTAAAAATATTCCTTTATTTGCAGAGGAGAAAGGCTTTCCCCTAGTCTAATCTGCTTTTCCCCTTGGCTGGGTTGGGAGCTGTAGGGTATCTCTGGTTTTACGGGCAGGCAGATTCCTCCTCCCCAGACTCCTCCCAAGTCACGAGCTGGCCAGCACAGTCCCGTGGCTGGCTGCTGAGTGGTGCACACAGCAGCTGAGGATGAACCAGCTGAGCCCTACACAAAGTAACAGCGTTACACAAGGAGTTTCCCAGCTAGGCTGTCTGGGTCCCAGTTTGGATTCCAGTCTGGCAGGAGCTTAAGCTCCTTGTATATTCATAAAACGAGCCCCTTGGTCCTAGCACCTACTGAGGCACTGCCTTGGGAAACCATCTCCCTGCTACAAATCAGGAACCCCCTAGGCATAACAGGTCTGGTCCTCTCCACCCTGTCAGCGTCCTAAATCTGTTTCACATATGCAAAAAGAACGTCTGTCTACAAGACACACAAATTTCCACCCAACTCCCAATGAGCACTGTGGAATGCCTTTCATGGTTGCATTTGTTGACTCCACAGGTTTCTCCACTTTGCTTAGAGCAGCACAACCAGTGGCTTTTAAATGGCATTTTGCCATAGCCAGGTTTGACATCTTCAACTGTGGAAGTTGATTGCATAGGAACGCCACAGAATTAAAAGAACACTTGTAGTCCCTAAGACATTCCCATTTCATTGTGCCTACCTGGCTCTGGTTAATTATAACTCCATAAACATGCACACACATGCTCCGTGCAGCAATAAACCAGAAACTAGGACAGTTTGTATCAGATCTGGCAAGAGGTTGACTTAAAAAAAGTCAGCCTTGCGCAATGGGCTAACAACAGCATTGGTCGGTAATCTGGGGAGAAACATCACAACCAATGATGCTGCTCCCCTGCTATAGGGCTGAAGCTGTTGGAGCAGATTTGGCCCTGGATGGGGGTTACTTGGAAAAGAAAAAAAACCAGTAAAGGACTAATGAAGGATGGATGCAGAAGCTGGGACTGTATTTCCAGCTCTGACTCTAAAAATCCCAACAGCCCCTTTCACCCTGCTGCCTCAATTTCTCCTTCTGCAATGCAAGACTCTGCATTTTGCAGGGAAGGAGAAACTTTAGCAGTTTCTGGCACCCATGATACTTACTGCAGGCAATGTCCAACATGGAACAGTGCACGGATGGCACCCAGAGGTTGGAGGAGCCAGTGTCAAAGATCACGGTGAAATTCTGGGGAGGTGTTCCAATACCAATCACACCGTAATACTGGGCCTGCAAAGCAAAAGAAGGAAGCCATGAGCAGAGGCAGCTGGCTAACAGCAGGGATTAAAGATAAAAAAATCTCTTAGGGTTGAATAGAGGATCTTATCTGGACACTGACCTCCTCGTTTTTGGCACTGATGGATTCCCAGCCTTTGTCCTCTGGAAGGGAGGTTCCCCTTCAGTGTTCACAACTCATTACAGTGGGTGTGAAAAGGATAAATCGAGGACAAGTGGGATGGGTGTGTGCGGGGGAGGACATTTGGGGCAGGGAGACAGGGGAAAAGAGAAGGGGTGAGGTCTGCAGGCTAGCATGCAGTTCACTACAAGGATGAGAAAAAACGATGGAAGGAAGCCAAGCCAAACACCTGTTACTGAAAAGCTGAAACTGGCTGAGAAGCTGCTTTGCTCGGAGACTTTCAGAGAAACTGTGGGTTGCAGTGAGCAGCAGCACTGCCCACTGCACGTGGAGGTACAGCTGCGGGGGTTTTGGTGCTTGCTGGTGACCTCCGGGAATGGGGAGGAATAAACAAAGGCTCAGTCTCGAGAACTGGAAGACTGAAGAAGTGGTGGGAGCAAAGAGCATGAGCAGCACCACCAGAGACGGATTTAGGCCTCCAGGGTGAAAGACTGGGAGAAGTCCCTATAGCACAGCTTTCTGATGGATATCACTTTGCTCTGAGACTAATTTCTGCTGGGACTGGAAGAAACCTGAACGGCTAAGTTGTTGGCAATGTATCCCTCTCTCTACAGAGGAAAGGATGAATGGAGAATGCTAGGCAGGCGCAACATGGACTCATTATTCCCCATGCTCCCAAACAGGCAGGGAGCTGTGTCCTGCCTGGTGAGCAGCTGGTTCAGGGCTCTGGAGAGAAGGCTGCTAGCAAGGGAAGTCAGCCAGTAGTCTTTCCAAACCCCCCGTGAAGTTAACCGGGGTGGGGAGGGAAGAAAACAGGATTATCAAAGCTGTTCACCTCCTGTGCGCTTAGTTTGCAAGGCTTGCTTACTAAGTAATTAACAGTCCATTGCAACATTGCAATTAGCCATAATGAGGAGGCAGCATTTGCTTCCAGTGATTCTGTAATTATTGCTGGGGCTTGAGAATTAACCCCGGTACAGGGGCTCCGTTTGTCACATACATAGACCCATGAAGGGCTCCAGGGGCTGGCAGGTAGCATACGAGGCAGGCTAGTGGGGGTTGTCTCAAGAATTCCTTTGGCAGCAAAAGTATTTTCAGCCAGGCTGGGAGGGACCCAGTGATCCCTTGTCTGCCACCACAGGTTGGGTTGGTGTCCCTGAGACAAGGGAAAACTGAGTGGCAGTCTGAGCTGTGGCTGCAAGAGAGAACACCGTGACACAACCGTTTGCTCTGGCTTTCAACACTGCCAACTGAAACACCGGTGGCCCTTCCCAGGACAGGAAAGCGCTGGTTGGGTGACAAGAGCCCCTGGGGAAGGACAGCAGGGGGAATATATCCTGAATTAATGCCAAAGCATCTGGGCCTGGCTTTATTCTGCCAGTTAATGCTCATAACCTACACCGCCTGGTAAGGAACTCTGAAACAGTAAACCCCACACGTGTCTGGCAGCAGGGCAAGGGCAAACTTCATGTCCTTTATCTGTCTTCTCTTTCTGCCATCACACAGGTCCCTTTGCTCCCCAAGCTGCTGAGAAGAAAGTGGAGGTACAGGGTGGCTTTTCCCAAGGCAGTGCAGAAGATGAAGGTTAGTGAGAGGAAGGGTCCTGCATCCCTAGTCCCATGGTAGTACTCAATCTGAGTCTTCTTCCAGTATCTTGTGCTCAATCATTTATGCCCCAACACCTTAAGGAGTGGAGCATGATTTTTATGCCCCTGTCTTGCCAGAAGTAGAGTCCAAAGGGCCAGAAGATGCTAGGAAGGATTGTAAATGAGCAGGCCTCCATTTATGATCGTTAATTAGCGACAAAGGGGAAGGGAAATAGGTCACAAACTGAAAAGCTCCTGCTTGGGTGGCAGTAGGTTGTTTGTCGTTGTTATAATTACTAGTACTAGTATTTTTAGTTTAGCAATGATGGGAAGCACTTTTTGGCACCCACTCACTAAGCCATGGGGGTGCATGAATCTGTCCTACAGGATCAACATCTCTCTCTCTCCTTTGCCTTCCTGGCTGGTGGGAGGCTGGCATGTCTCACCACCCCCTGGGATGGGTACCCCTGCAAGTGACAGCCACTTGCCCAACATTGTGCTGGGTGCATCTGCTGCAGTGCAAGGGATGGTTCGCAGGGGGGTTGTTACTCACATCCATGTAGTTCTTCAGAATTTCTGGAGTGGGCTTGCCCTCTTCGGCAAAGCCCAGCTTGTACTTGATGGCCTCCGTGATGGAATTCGTATCTGGGATCTCACTGCCTGCCTCTCTCAGGATCCGCCGCATGGAAGGGAACTTGGTCAAGGGGATCCTGTGTGGGGACGGCAAACACACACCTGTTAAAGGGGGTGTGTAGGGGAGGGATACCTAGGGAAGGGGGGCAGCAGGGCTCCACTCAGAACAGGGGATGCGCCAGTACGAGCTGGGTGAGGTTTGGGCTCCTGCCAGCACGCTAGAATCCCCTCGCCGTGCTGCGTAGAGTGTTTTTTCCAAAGCCGGAGGATAGGGGGAAAGGCCGGGGGGTTGCCAGAGGTCACCAGGTGTACGGGAAGCCGGGGCGAGGCCCCTCCATTTGCAGCATGGGGGGAGTGCTCCGAACCTTGCTTTGATGGAGAGGGAGCCACCCCCTATGGAGGGCTATGAGAGAAGCTCGGAGGCCACCGCTGCAGTAGCACCGGGGGTGCTTCTCCCATGTACCCCCCAACCCGGGCGGCTCAGCAGCCCCCGAGGAACCCCCTCCTCTCACCTGATGAGGGAGGCGCAGGACCCGGCCAGGGCGAGCAGCAGGAGGAGGCCGCGGAGCCCCATGGCGGCGATGGCGCTGCTGGCGGCGGTGGCGAGGGGTCGGAGGCTGAAGGTCCCGACGCTGAAGAGGCCGCGACGCCGCTCCCGCTTCCCGTCGCTGTTTTTGTAGGCAGAGCGGCCGCTCTCCACGGATTTCTCGAGTCAGCTGACGGTCTAAAATTGCAACCGGCGGCGTCACGTGAGGGCGGGCAGGGGCGGGGAGCGGGCGCGGGGCCGGGGGCGCCGCCTCACGGCTCCCCCCCCACCCCGGGGTGACCCCCGGCGCCTCGGGCCGTGACTCAGCCCCCGGGAAAGGGGAATAAACACAGGGAAATCAGTCACGAGATGCCTGCCCGGCCGCGCGTGCTCCTTCTCGACTGCCTTTAACTTCCTTCTGCTGGGCTGATATTTTTTTTTTGTTATTTCCAGGTTTTCTGGTGTTTTTTCTCCCAGGGGAGCGGAGCTGGGGGGGACACGGGACACACGCACAGCCCCCAGGCAGCAGACCCCGAGCTCCTGGCAGGGCTCGGCTGCTCACGGACCTCGGCCACCCACCCGCTGTCACCACGGAGTGACATCGTGCACCCCCGCCCAGGAGGGCCATGGCACCCCCAGCCCTGTGTTTCCCCCAGGACATCTCCAGTTTGGGAGACTCGTCCCTGCAATCCCTCCGAGCTGGGTGTTTCTGGGGAAGATGGGCATATCCTAGGCCACAGATTTTTAGGAGGTGCAGTGTGGGACGAGGGGATGCCAAGCTGTATCTGCCACGCCTCAAAATGCACTGTGGTGGTACTGAGTCAACTGCAGCCATGGAGAATGATGCTGGTGCAGGACAGAGCTATCAGCCTCCAGCAGCCCCTGAGATCTGCCCCTTCCTCAAAGTGCATCAAGGAGTACCAGGATGGGCTTTTCACCATCACCGGAGTGTCATAACAGGGTTCAGAGGTGCCACCCCACCAGCTCAGGAGGCCACAGCTAATCTCTGCCCAGTTTGCCCCAACAGAGCTCCTACAGAGCCACGAGACCTGCTGGAAAAACAGTAAAAGTTAAATCGGATTTACAGACATTTTCCCTTCCAAGCCCTGAGGGCAAGGGGGAATTGTTTCCTGCTCCTGCTTGTGCCTAGTTGTGGGGATGGGAAAGCAGCAGCCTGTGGGATGAGCTGGACACTGCTGGAGTGGGGGACCCCTAGCTTTGTGATGGTGTTCTTGTCCCTCTCTTGTCACATTCATGTTCATGCAACTTCTGTAAAATTGCTGGGTCATGTTACTGGCACCTCACTTGCACCATCTCCTTCCCACAGTCTGTCCCTAAGTCTCTTCCATCCTCCCACGGCCTCACACAGGATCCTGTTGCCCTGGGTCCATGCATGCTATCCCCCAGCTGTGATCCATCCTGAATATTTTTAGAGGGCATTTCTGCCCTGGGCTGTATCTTGTCCCACAAACTCTCCAAATCGCCACATGTTGGTCAAGCTGATGGGCTTCAGGAAACCTGCTGCCTTCCTGTGGGACACAGCTGCCATTGGGATGAGGTTTTCAGGAGCGATCCTGGAGGCATTGGTTGAACCTGGTGGGTCCCGTTATTTCGGCCAGCACCCTCTTCCCTCCTGCCCCTGCGGGTGTGTGGTCAAGCTGAGTGCCACTGACCACGAGTCAGCAAAACCCGTTGCCCTCCCGGCCCCGAGGCACTGCGTGACTCAGCAAAATCCGTGTGGCTCATTTGGGCAAGGGGCCAAGGCATAGCAGGTCCACAGCACCGGTAGCCTGACCCCAGAGGCATCACTGCTGCTGCTGCTGCTGCTGCTGCGGCTGCTGCTGCGGGCTCCAGCTCACGGGTCTCCTCCTCTTGTCCCCCTGGATGCTCACAGGTAGGAGTGGGTCAGACATAAACCAGCCTGACCGTGGTCCCATCCAAGCACACCTGCCTTCCTCAAGGGGTCTAAACCCCTTTACAAAAGTGCTTTGCAGACAAAAATGGCAGTACTGACGCCAGGCCCAGGCCTCCCTTACATCCCTTACAGGCTTTCCTGGAGCCAGTGCCAGAGCCCCAGCCCTCCTCCCTTCTCTTTGAAGTGGCTGGGAAACTGTAGCTCGCCAGGAAATCTGCACCTTGTTCAGGCCCCAGGCTGGGGCACCTACGGTAGTTCTTCCTTGAGCGTCTCCAGTCTGGCCAGTCTGTACTAGAATCCCGTGGCTATGGAGTGGGCTCCAGTTTGCAGGGATGGGCTGCTGAGTACAGCATGCCATACTAGTCACGTACCATCACACAGTGCCCAGCAAAGTGCTTCAGCAGAGTAAAGAACTCGACCCAGGCTGTGTCTGGCTTTTTTTTTTTTTTTATTCCAAGGGATTAAAGACAAGCTTTGCTCTTATGAATGAACCTTTGCTTGAGTTTCATGGTAGCAAGGCTTGAGTCCTCATCTGGGACTGCTCTCATACCAGTGCAAGAGGGTCATTGCTTTTAGAGCTGTTCTAAGTGACTTACATGTCCCACGTTTCCAATGGTTTACTGGGAAAAAGGGAGAATGGGGCTGTGCCAGAGAATGTTACAAGAGTGATCTTCTTCTGAGTGCTTGCAGGATGGGAAGGGACTGGGGGTCTTATCCCCCGAGTTTTGAATCTGTTTCTGTCCCTTGGCACCAGTAGTTTTGGAGCTGACACTGCAGTGCCTGTATGCTGGGGTGCCAGTGGCTCCAGCACGGAGACAGGATTTCTGCATTCAGGCTCCCTCAGCACCTCTGTGGAATGTTTGCCCTGGTGTTAAAGCCTTGAGAGGTACAGTGGGTATGTTTAACTAGGAGCTGGGAGCACGTCTGGGTATAGGCTGGGACCGTGAGAGTTGCATTATATTATCTTAAAAAGATAGAGTGGCACAAGCCTGGGCTTAGGGTTTTTTACACATTTTTCCTTGTTTGTGGAGCAAACAGGGAGTGCCATGGCTGAGGCATCTAGAGAACGTGTGAAACACAGTGGAGGGATCTATCCCTCCTCACTCCTATTTTGTCACAGTGGATGAACCCCTTTCCTTGCTGCTCTGTCTCCCTAGCCCCCTGCATCCCCTGTGGGTCCAAGGGGTGAACCAGCACATTGTCCCCTGCAGCCACAGCTGTGGGTGTGAGGTGACACACCCCACGCTTTCACAATCTCAGTCCCTGCTTGAGAGGATTCCCGAGGTGGGGTCAAATGACTCAGCTCCAATAGCTCCAGTTTGGAAGAGCACCCCAGCTCTGGGAGATTGGGGTCTGCTCTGCAAGTGGCACCTGGCTATCCCGTCTGCCCTTTGCCACACAGGCAGGGACCTGATGCAGCTTAGTTTATAAATGTAGAATCCTTTAGGTTGGAAAAGACTTGCAAGATCATCAGGTCCAACCATTAGCCCAGCACTGCCAAGTCCACCACTAAAGCATGTCCCTAAGTGCCACATCTGTCTGGCTTTTAAATGCCTTTGGCAATGGTGATCCCACCATTTTCCTGTTCCAATGCCTAACCACCTTTTCAGGGAATAAATTTTTTCAATATCCGGTCTAAAGTTCCCCTGGCACAACTTGAGGCCATTTTCTCTCATCCTGTCATCTGTTACCTGGGAAAACAAGCTCTCACCTCACTGCAATCCCCTTTGCAGTTGTAGAGAGTGACGACGTCTCTCCTGTGCCTCCTTTTTCCCAGGCTGAACGTCCCCAGCTCCCTCAGCCTCTCCTCACAGGGCATGTGCTCCAGACCCTTCACCATCTCTGTTGCCCTTCTCTGGATGTGCTCCAGCACCTCAATGACTTTCTTGTAGTGAGGGGCCCAGAACTGGACACAGGACTCACGGTGCAGCCTCACCAGCACCAAGTACAGAGGGACAATCACTGCCCTAGCCCTGCTGGCCATGCTATTTTTGATACAGGCCCAGATGCCACTGGTTTCCTTGGCCACTGGGGCACACTGGCTCATGTTCAATTTCAAATGCCTTATTTTTGGGGGGCTCTAGCAGGTCTCCCATTTGCAGCTTGCCAGACTTCTGCCAGGGCTGCTACAGTGGCCTCTCTGTCCTTACACATGGGTGTGTGTTTGCCTTCACCCTTTTTTTCCTAAATTTATTTATCACAGTGGGTACCAATGCCATGAACTGCAATGACCTACAGGGCAAGGAAAGCTTCAGCTCAGAGATGCAGATTATTTTTTTTGCTCAACTATGGGTGGGATGTTTAGAGGGCATCTTCAAATTCAAGAAAATGCATTTTGCTTTTGAAGCTTGTTGCTAAAAGAAAATTATTCTCCCATCTGAGCTGAATAGAGCCTACGGGTGCACAAGCCTGGGCAAGTCTGGTTTCAAACACCCTGCCTCCACTGGTGCTGGTGTGAAGGTGCTGGATGCAGCTCATTAGCTGAGCCTGATTCACCATCCCTGAGATCCCGAGTGAAGCAGTGCTAACTTTTTCCCGGCACGGTGCCAGGAATTCGCCCACTCCCTACACCGTTTCCTAAACTGATGTACAATTCACAAGGTGAGGGTGCGTTTTGCAGTGGCACTGGCACATCCCAAACTACACCCTTTTTCAGGGTAACACCCACAAAAGTCAGACTAAGAGGTGGTTTAGTAGCAGCTCCAGGTGATGGGAAACCTGGGAGCAGAGGAGGGGTTGCACTAAGCACAACAAAGTGACTCACGCAGGCCCTGGCCATTGTGTCCCAGCGCTGTGGGCACTGGGGAAGATGTCCTTGGCATTGTGGGTGGTGGCAATCTCCAGTCCATTCATGCCGGCTGGCTGGGGCTGGTTTGGAGGCACTAGCCTGCTTAAACATGTTCTGGCTGCCATCATGGGCTGCAGTGACCTTGGGGAAATGCCAAGCTGCAAAAGGCCAGTGCTGCGTGGTATTTTTCCCCTTGCTGTCCTTCACGCTGCAAACTGTGATCCTGTTGGTGGGTGAGGGTGTCTCACTGGTGGCCGTGTGACACTACTGGATGTCATAGGAGGCAGGAGCCCTGAGCATGGCTCCATCCTCATCAGGGCCATTTGCAGCAGCCTTCAAACAGAGTGTTTTCATCACATCTTGCTCTTCCATCTTTTCCTGAGCTATTTAAAAACAAAACTCAGACAGGATTTCATAAGTAAAATATACTTATGGTCTTTAAGATTCTGAGCTGCTCTGGAAGCTGCTCTTCACTAGGATTTACTTAAACACTACCTTGCTTCAGTGGGCTGCTGCCAAGTTTGACATCACCTGTCCCTGTGTCCCACGCACTTTGTGGCCCTGCCCAAATCCTTGCCGCCCCCACACCACCTCCCCGTTCCTGACCCTGCTCGGCGTTGGATGTTCTTCGTCATCCCCTGGACCATCCTCCCCCACGGCTAGTGACACACCTGGCACCCACCTTGGGGAGGAGGGGGCCTGCCTCTCCCTGGCTGCTGGCCCTGTCTGCTCCTCAGGGCAGGGATCTCGTGTTGTTTGCCTCACCTGAGTTATTTTGCAGCAGGCTGAAATTGCCAGGGACGGGCAACAACAAACCTGGCAGACACTGGCAGCAAGGCAGCGTGACCCGTGGCTGACGGGATGGGGTGGTAAGTGGCAATGATGGTATTGATTCATCCCCACCCACGCCAGGATGTGATGGGGAACACAGGGACCCAACTCACCTTGTCACCGCCTTGAGCAATTCCTGCTTCTGTCCCCCATGTGAGCCTGGCTTGGGATGGGGGGTATTGGCATACTGGTGGGGTTCCTGTCATGATGCAGAGAAGTGCCTCCAGCCATGTCCAAGCACACGTTTAATTTCCTTTGCCAGCACTAGATGTTATTTAATTATTTCCTTTAGTTTCCGGCAGAAGTTGTCCTAAGACGACCATCATTTACACAAGCATGTCTCTTCCGCGCTGAAGACGCTTCTGCTCCTGTGTGGCCTCAGAAAGATGATGGTCAACACCCCATTGCAACCCAAGGATCAGCTTAAAAGTTGTAATGTGCTTTCTTGGAAAGGGAGCAGCCAGCTCTCACTGGTGATTTGGTGAGTCAGTCTAGACCACCTGGGGCAGTTTCTGCTGTGTCAATATTTCCACAAAGGCTCTGAATTTTAATTTATTGTTACCTTTTTGCTAAGCTCCATCTTTACTTGCCACCACAGCCACTATTTTCTGTCTGATTGCCTGGTTAAGATCTTGAAACTGGTTTCAAAACCGGCAAACAGTCTGTGGCTTTGCACACCCTCTCTCTGACCTTCTACATGCAGAACAGCCTGTTAATAATTTTTTGCAACGTGGGACGTGGCATCTCAGCCTCTCTGGCTGAGAACTCGAGTGTTTCTCAAGGTACACTGTCACCAGGGTGACTTAGGGTTAGGGTTATGGTCAAAAATGTAAAGATGCTTTGCTCAGTGCTCATGACCAAAGGTGCTTGTAGGTTAGGGAGGTGTGGGAGCATCCTTGGCAGACATTGCAGCTGCGCCCAGGTCCCGCAGCCTCCAGCATCCTCTCTCTCTGCAGCCAGGAGTCAATGAAGCTGAACAGCTCGGACACTGCCACTGCAGATCTCTATTAGCAGATAAATACCTGCTAATCTTCCCTCCCTGCAGTACCACCATTTCATAAAAAACTTGCTCTTGCTTAGCACCGAGTTGTTTTTAGCATTGCAACCCTAAATTGACTGGTGCAGCGAGTGAGGGATTAAGGGCACGGTCCTGGCCAAAGGTCTCCCACAATTCCTCGAGGCCAACCGGCTGCAGCCTCTGATCCCTGGGGTCACGCGCCCCACCCTGGAACAAGGGCCACTTGTTTGGCATCGCTGGCAGAACTGGGCCCTGCAGAGGAGGCAGCTGGCCTCCTCTGGCTGAGAAGAGTAGGGGCCCACTTCCTTTTCTGGACCAGGAGGGTGTCTCAGAGGGGAACCCAGACACCAGGCAGCTTTGGCTGAGGCCGTGGGTGGTTGTTGGAAAGCAATGGTCAGAATCAAGTGAAGGTCCTCTGAGCCCCCTTTGCACTTCTTTTCCTGGAATGGAAAGGTACAGAACCCAGCAGGGTTCAAAGGGAGCCTATCTCTGGTGATGACACAGCAGTGTGGTCTGCTCCTGCCTTCCCCTGGCCAGAAAAACCTGAAATGGGTATATCAGAGAAGCATGCCATGACCATCCCCAGCAGCAAAACCCTCTTCAGGTTGCAGCAGGGCACGAGACCCTGGGGCATCAGCAATCCCTTGAAGGAGGGAGCTTAAGGTACCTCAGAAAACCAAAACCTGAGGAGCATCCCAAGCATAAATGAACTTATTACAGATGCCTCTAAGACAGAAACAGCAAGTCTGTCCTTGCAGCAGGGCATGAAGCTGCAGTAGTCCTTGACAGAGAGTGTTTTTGATGGCACATCATTGAAACAGGGCAATAAGGGCAGTTTTGATGCTACAAGATTGAACTATGGCCTGAAGCAGCTGTACTTGGCTTTATATTATGCAACCCCACAAGCCCTGAGTTTCCTTCCTTTTTTCCTATTTTGGGCACGTTTTGCCGTGTCACTGCCCACTGTGCTGACAGTGCTGGATGAAGGCATGTGGTGCTTTCCCCCTGCCTCAGCATCCCACGCACGGCAGTGGTTCACGTGGGCCTGCCCCCACCACCCTTGACTCAGCTAATTCCCTCTCACCCAAGGTGGTGACCAAGCTCCTGCTGGCCCTGTCCAGGAATTGGCAAATGCAATGGGTCAGGATGGTGGAAGATGCCCAGGACCACCATCACCTCCAGCACTGTGTCCGTGTCCCCAGCACCAGCTGCCATGGAAGCAGCTGGCTGTGTGTGCTGGGCAGGGCTGGAGGTGGGGGCTTGGATCACTGCACTGAGCCCGGTGGTGTCTGAGCTGCACAGAAGTGGGACAAATATCTGCACCTGCTTACTGAGCGTGTTTGGAGCATCCTGTAATTAATGTTTGCTCAGCTGATGGCTGCTTAGCATTATTAGCGAATGATGAGTGGCTGATGTTGTTGATGTTGCCACCTTGAAACATCTAATTTCAGCATCTGCACTGAGCAAATGGGCCAGGTGCCAGACTGCTGGTGCCAAGGCCCTGCCAGGCTTTGCTTCTTTGGAGGTGGCTTCCTTTCAAATCTGTGCACATGGGCATCCCTGCCCTGCCCTAGCAGCCCCGAGTTTGGACCCACACGGTGGCCACAATGGCAGGGAAGGACCTCTGCCAGTGGCATGTCAGGACCAGCAGCTGCTCTTGCTAAGGCAAGAAGTGCAGAGTCCTCATGCCCACGGTGGCAGGAGTGAGCTTGGAGACAGATACAAGATGACATTCACAGGCCTAATCCAAAGCCCACTGAAGGTTTCTTGTGTATCTAAGCCATTTTGATGAACATACCAAACATACAATCAATAAATGAATGTGTGTAAAGGAGTTATAACTCAGGAGACTGAGTTATCCCATCCTTCCTCCCACACTGCTAGACACAGGCATGACAAGCAGGCACTCACACTGGGATGTTTGTTTATTTGTTTATTGGGGGGGGGAAAGAAGCTTTGGTGAGAGCAACACTTGTGAAGCCTTTAAAAATAATTATTTTCTGATTACACTGAGATTAAAAAAAACTAAGCCAGCATCATCTTTACCTCCTTGTCCGTAATCCCGCTGCTGCCTGAGCAGCCAGTTTGCATTTTCTTACGAGGCGTTTCTGGAGAGCTGGCAGGTATCTGAGGTGCCATGTCCCCAGGCAGCACAGTGGCCTCTAGTGGCAACTCACATCCAGCCCAGGGGAAAGAAACCTGCAGGTGAACCTTGCAGGTTACTTGTTGCCCAGGAAAATTAAGAATTGTGTCCAAACTGCCAGAAACAGGGAGAGGCATCCCTGTTTGGGGTGTGGTGTGATGTCAGGCAGGGATCCGAGCACACCCATGTACCCCATGTGCAAGGAGCAGCTCCTCCTGAGACCTCCACCCATGCCCTCTACCCACGGCCCTGGAGATCCATTTAAGGTTGGCCACAGTACTCAGTCCTGCCCCAGCCCCGGCAGTGCTGGTCTGCTGCCCTGGCCCCTCCATGCCTTGCGCTGCAGGCAGCCCATCTCCAGTGCCCTCTCCTGGTGGGACACTGGAGCTGTTCTGTCTCCTGGATGGACCTCAGTGCTGGGTTGTAGCCTTGTCCCAGCCTTGTTTTGCAGCTCCAGGAACTGAGTGTCCTACAGGTCTGTCTCCTAAAAGCACTCCGTGAGCAGTGTGCATGCCTAAGGAAAGCTGTCTTGTGCTATAATCTCTTTTATGAGGAGGAATAGCTTGGGCTTTCTTTCTTTCACCCATTCACTCATTTCTAAAAGATTTGTAGGTCCTTTACGGTTTATAAGTCTTTCTCCCTCTTCTGAGTTTAGCTGGAGCTGCCTGAAGCACTCACTAGCACATCAGTCTCCTCAGAAACCAAGATGAGTGTGTCTGGTGAAGCAGGGTCTTGACGGCTCCCTTTAGGCAGAGATCCTGGGAATTAATCATAGAATCATAGAATGGTTTGGGTTGGAAGAGACCTTAAAGATCATCCAGTTCCAGCCACCCTGGTGTGACCAGGGACACCTTTCACTAGACCAGGTTACTCAAGAGTTCCATCCAACCTGACCTTTAACACTCCCAGGGATGGGGCATCCACAATTTCCCTGGGCGACCTGTTCCAGTGCCTCATTACCCTCACAGTAAAAAATAATATCTAATCTAAACCTGCCTTTGCTCAGTTTGAAGCCATTCCCCCTTGTCCTGTCACTGCATGCTCTTGTAAATAGTCCCTCTCCATCTTTCCTGTGGGCTCCCTTCAGGTCCTGGAAGACTGCAGTTAGGTCACCCTTAAGCCTTTTCTTTTCCAGGATGAACAATCCCAATTCTCTCAGCCCTCCTTCAGAGGAGAGATGCTCTATCCCTTTAATCATCTTGGTCACCCTCCTCTGGACTTGGCTTAACAGGCTGATGTCCTTGTGTTGCTCCATCTTGGAGACTCTGAGCCCAGCCAAAACTAGCATTTTTTTCTTGTTTCCTTCAGCTTGTGTGCGTGGCATTTGCTTCACTTATTTCTTTGAGCAAAGTCCTCAGGTCCTACATGGCAGGTAGGTGTAGTCCTCAGTGTCACAGCAGAAGTGTCCTCCTGTCCTGGAGCAGTTGTGTCTTTTGGCTTTATCCTAAGATGTAGAGGACCTCTCATCAGGAGCAGAAATATGCATCAAGCTTTGCATGGGAGTCCATGCTCTCATCCCCTTTCCCTGAGATTTGCTTGCTGCACGTTAGGAAATCTTTCCTTGTCCACCAGAAGTGTTGGCTCCAACTGACCAAGTCCCCTATGTCACTGGGAGGGAGGACTGCTGGCATGCAGCCTATCAGCAGCAGGAGGGGACCCAGGCAGAGGGTACCCCCACATTCTGAGCCCCTTGGATGTTATGAAGCCCATCATCGAAGAAAATGTGAGGCTGGATCTGGGCGAGGATGGGGCCCTTGGGAGCCCCATCCATGAAGAAAGCCTCGTCGATGGGCAGACCCCATTCCCGGAGTGTCTTGATGGCTCGGATGCCCATGTCCCGCCCGCTGCGGGCTGTCACCAGGTACGTGCGGATCGGGGACTTTTCCTGGCCAAACTTCTTACGCATATTCCCGAGGTGCATGGCAAAAGCCTTCAGGGGACCCTGGAAGCACAGCAAGACAGTTGGGAGTGTGTGGGAAATAAGAAAACACTTACTCTGCCTGTAAAAGCTATTTGTTCCTCTTCCAGGCTTTCTCAGGGTTCTGCAGAGCACACAATGCCCGTGGGCTGTAGGACCGGGCAATGCAGTCCCTGGGAGTAAGGTGAGCCTTGTGGTGCTCATCCTAATCCCAAAGAGAGGAGCCAGCAGTGCCTCTAGGTCTGAGTCCTGCAGGGACTTGGAGAGCAAGTGGTCACAGCCTACAAAAGGTGGTGTTGGGATTAGCCACAATCCTAGATATTTAGGGCTTACTTATAGGAGATAACAGATCCGTTTCCAGTGAGACTCCAGGGACTGAGTAGTGGATGCATACGGAATCTGTAAGGATTTCTGCTTTTTTGACTGCTCATGCCAAAGCCCAGCTGGAGAGACGGGCAGAGCCTGGGGGTGCCCATGGAAGTGGGGTGACATGCTCACCTCTCCTATGGGGATGGCCTCCATCGCCCGCTCGTACTGCACTGCTCCCTCCAGGCCCTGCTCCTGGAAGATCTGGTCTGTCTCGTCGGAGAAGAGCACGGCATCCCCGTCAAACACCACACGGAGTGGAGTGCTGGGGGCCTGCACCTCTTGCTGGAAGACGAGCGCTGCTGAGACCCCTGTGAGACAGAGCAAGGTGGGGTCAGGAGGGACACCCTTCCCTGGAGCAGCTCATGCATGGCCAGCAGCTCCCCATGCATCTGCGGCAGCCCTGTCCCACATCACCATGCCAGGGCCTCCAAGTCAGGGAGCTTCCTGGGGGAGTCATTCCAGCCTTTCCATGGCTGTGTCATCCCCTGAGAAAGTGCTGCTGATCAGAAACCGAGGTCTGGGGAGATACTGAAGTGTGGTAAGAGATGGTGGGTGGTTGTCAAGGCATGAGCAGCCCTCCTTCTGGTGCTTGCTCACCCTGCTAAGCCTCAATCTTTAATGCCCAGATTTAGCACTCTGGTGTGAATAATATGGGCTGGCATCTCCATTGATTGCGGTAATTGGCTTAATTACAGTCTCTTCCTACAGGCTGCTCCCTGCCCACCCTCATATGTGGACCCAGGCTCTCAGATGGGAGACACTTGTCAGGACAATGATTAGGGCAATGATTCTCTCAAGGAGGTTCCAGGAATGTGCTGTGTAGTGAAGGAAAGTCCAGGCTGCAGATGGCTTGCTCCTGACCTTGAAGGACGGTGGCCAGCTGATGTGCTCATACCCAAGCGAATTAGTAAGAAGGTGATTAACCCCATTAGAGGAGTTGGGGAGACTGCACTCCCTCCGAATGAGGTCAGGCACGTGCTTACATCTATCACTGAGCACACAGTAATTCTGCATGTACCAAGACAGCAAATTTCTGTGGCATCCACACAAAGTCCTGGGAATCACTGATAAATTCTCATTGATGAATGGAATTGCATCTTTGGTAGAGCTATGTCCAGAATGATGCATAATGCACTCAGTGACTTGTGAGGGCATCTGAGCAAGCCTGGTGTGTTTGCAGGCTACTGGTAAGGACAGAAGAGGAGACTGAACTGTTCAGGACTGTACTGGTAATCAATGCGCCATCCACCCCTTGTCCTTCTGAAATCAGAGGCTCTGGTGTTGTCCCTTGGTACTGAACTGCTTGGAAGAAGTGTGGTGGGTTTGGGGACGTGGGATGGAGGGGAGAACACACCTCTCCGGAGGGCATTGCAGACATCTGTCCTGTCAGCTGAGAGGAACAGCTTGACACCGTGGGACTTCAGGTACTGTGTGGAGTCCTCGTCACTGACGAAGCAGAACTTTGAGATCTCCAGGCCTTCAGGACAAGGGATGGGAGTGAAGTCTTACGGAGCAACATCCTCCTCACAGCCCCTCACTCCCTCCCTGGGTCTCGGTGGGCTTTGCTGCAAGAGCTCAGGGCAATGAATTTCCCAGTGGTGTGTGGGAAACCTGCCTGTGTTCTTACTGCATCTTCTTAACCTGTTGTTGCTCCTATAAAACTGCAGAGTGCACTTAATATTCCTTCCATCCCTCCCTTAAATGAGCATTCCTCCTGACAGCACTCTGGGATTTAGGGTGGTTTTTTTAAACAACTTTTTTTATTTTCAGTACCTGCCTGAACATGCTGGAGCTGTGCAAAATGCTGCCACACTTCCTGGTGTGAAAGATACGGCTGCTGAAGGGAGATGGGCTCCAAGAGAACCCTTTTCCCCCTTTCCCTTGTATCCCCTGGCTCTCTGTTTGCCACTGATGGCCCATTGTGGTGCCTGATCTGCTCTGCAGCCTCTCAGGGGACTCAGGCATGGCCAGGGATGGGTCCCCCTTACCGTAGTGCTTGGCGCTGTTGATGATGCGCACGCCGCTCTCTGGGCTGTTGTTGGAGAGCACCAGGATGTCAAAGAGGTCCCTCTCTGCTGGGTTGCTCTCCAAGATCTTCTTGTTAACATACTGCACTGCCTGTGTGGAGATTTTTTTTTAAAGAGGCATGACTGCAGTACCTTTGCAGGGGCTCTTTTGCAGTTAAGGTTAGTGTTTTGTGCTGCATCTGTCAGCTATGGCAGGGCTGGCATGTTATGGAGAGCCAGACAGAGCAACCATCCTGGAAAAGCTGGGTGAGAGAGATGGACTGGTCAGGAGCACAGGTCTCAATGCCCTGCAATGAGGCCAAGAAATCAGGACAGGCAAAACTACATCCCGTGATGGGAGCTGAGACTTAAAGCAGGGATAGCTGAGCTTTCACCCTATCCTGCAAGTGTGTGCATGTGGCCCTAGCCAGCTGTGGGGCTCACCTGGATGAAGGCAAAGGCTGTGCCAGGTGGCAGGGGCTTGTCCTGGTTGGCCTGCTGGTGCCTTGTGTACTCCTCCTTGCCCTTCTCCAGGTAGAGCTTGTGCTCCTCCTCCAGGTTGAAGATGGCTCTGGTGGTCACAGCAATGACCAACGCCCTGCTGGGGTCTTTCTGCAGGACAGGGAGGAAAGAGGAGTCAGGGGACAGCAGATAAGGAGCTTGTGGAGGTGGGGTGAGCAGGGGACACCAACCAGAGTGGTGGGGTTGGGTGTTAGAGGTATCACCCCTGTGTCATGGTCCCTGATGCCAGAGGTACCACACCCAGTCTTCATCTTCAGGCCACCAAGGATGGGGCTGGCAGTTGTGAAACCCTAACCTGTCTGATAAGTGCCACACACTACAAGGACAGCTCACACAGAGGGGATTGCTTCATGATATTGTTGTTTGTGGGCACAGCACAGCTACAGTCATCTGTTTGTGCTGGGCTTCTCTGCACATACCGGTGGTATTACCCTTCATTTGTGACTGTCCTGGACAGTTGAATTAAAGTCTCTGTGTATATAGAGAAGCTTCTGCTTTCTCCCTGGCTGCTCCAAACTTTAAGTGTGAGCAAATGTACCTGCTCACTCCATGCAACTGGAAATCACATGGACTTCACTGGGACCAGGTGCCCAGCTGCCCTGGGACAGCCACTTCTGCTGAAACCCAGGCACGAGCAATTCAGGCCACCACAGTTCTATGCTGTGGTGTGTTCTCTTCTGTGGTGGCATTTCAAAACTTGGTTTGGAAATACAGGATGTGTGTTTTGTAATGAACAGCCTTTTACCTGTTTTACATTGGTGTTTATGACTGTGCTTTCTGGCTCTGCCATCTTCAACTCTCAGCCCTTAAGAGAAAATATAAAATTAAACTGACAGATTATAATATAGTCAATCTACAGTCAATCTAGAGAGGGGGAAGAGTGGAAAGGAGATAGGAAACATCCTACATACCAAATACAGCAGTCCAAATGAACCTGTTCCTGCTGACAGGAGCTTTGCTCCGAGAAAACCTGTTCTAATAGCTCCAATTAAATGTGATGTGCTTTTCAAACACAGATCACTGCTTTATTTTCACCTTTGTTTTTCTCAAAGAGTATTTTTCTCTGTGTGGAACTGCTGAAAGCTGTTGTAGAGCTCTTTTCCAAGCAAAATAAGGCTGTCTTTAAAAGCCAAAATAGGTTAGATCTTATAGGCAGGTTTCTAGTTCACATCCTTGTTGCCTTTTTTTCCGTTTTTGCTTGAATAGTGAATTTGTTGCTACAAACGAAGTTCACTGCATCAGCAGCTCATCTGCAGCTGTAAAAGGCCATAGTAAGTAGAAGTGTGTGGTGAGGGCTTGGATAAAGGCTGAGACTCCTACGATGGGGTTGGTCTGCCCCTCCACAGCCTGTGAGCCGGTCAAGCCCTACCTGATTACTGTACTGGGGGGCTGTGCAAGCAAAGAGCAAAGCCAACATGCAGTGTAAAGGACAAGTCAGGGTCTGCACAGAGACCTGTCTTTTGCCACGGTTTTATTTAATCAATGTTTATTGTTTAGGAACTGCAAAATGTTGCCTGGGTCAGTAGGCAACACCCCAGCCGTGAGAGCCACAGCCTTGCCATGGGGGGCTCAGTGCCTGACTGCCCCAGGAGCAGAAAGTCCTGCAGCTGGGCTACTCCCCCAGCAGCCAGGGCTGCCTAGAAAGCCAGAAGATGCTGAGCATCCCTTTGTTTCCTCCACCCCATGCCCCGTACTGGGAAGGGGTCTTCTCCCAGAGAGGGTGGCAAACACGAGCGCAGCTGCGCAGGCACAAACTTTTGCTCTGACACAATCTCAGCCAAGTATTCTCTGAAAGTCAAAATTAAACGCAAGGAAGCAACGGAGCTGAGCAGCCCTACCTGGTGGGAGAACCCACCTCTAATTTCTGCTTCACTGTTCCAAGCACTGCAAGCCAAGCCCAACTTCTCCTTTCCGGCTCCCTGCCCCAGTAACCCGCAGCGCTGTTCGCACACGGATCTGCACAGGCTGCGAGAGCCCAGGAAAACATTCCGGCATCGTGCTGCTGGTCCCTACGGCTGCCTAGCAGGGAGCAGATGTTCCCCTTGCACACAGACAGGTAGAGAGAAAAGCCCAAACTCACCCCGAGTGCTCCCCGGCACAGCCCGTCCAGCGGCAGCATCCAGCCCTGTCCGAGGCGCTGCTGTTTATATTTCCCCCTGCCCGCGCTGCAGGAAGCAGCAGGAAGCAGCAGGAGCCGGGATGGGCGCAGCTCCGCTCCCTGGAGTGCTGGGATTTGTAGGCAGCCAGCTGTTTGGCATCGTGCCCTGGCCAGCCTGCATTTCCCAGCTGGCATTGCACAGGATCGTGGTCACCTGGCTTCGGACACAGCTGCGGTCACCCTGGGGAGGGGACTCGGCGCTGCTCCTGCTCCTCGGCGCTTCGGCTTACTGCCTGATCGCTGTCCACAAGCCGTGATGTCTTATTTCTGCAGCTGGAGTGTTTACAGCGTGCCTCTAGTCCTCTCATTTCCCAGCCCATGAATGGTTGTATTTTTGACCAAAAAATAGAGGTACCTGGTCCAGAGTAACTCGCAGCCTATGCAGGGATGCGGGGGAGCAAAGGCAGGTGCAGAGCGTTTGCAATTTTACTGTAATGGTTTTGGATCTCTTTTCCCTTATTTTCTGAAAGCCGTGCTGTCCTGAGCAGGGTTGATTTTGGGACTAGGATTTTACTTTTCTAGGTAGACTGCGTGGCACCCAGCCCTGTGGGGCTCAGAGTGCCGGGATAGTTCAAACACTCCCTTTCTGTCCAAGAGTGTGACTGTCAGGGATGTGGGGGGAGAGGATGAGGGAAGGAGGGCTGACACAAGAACACCCTGCAGCTTTTTCCTTGCCCTGCTGCTGGAACAAGGTCTATTGCTGCAGCCTGCCAGCAGGATCACCGAATCTCCTACCAAAATGTGGGAAGCCACCAGGGTCCTGTGCAGTTTGGTCTCACTGAGATCATAGAATCATAGAATGATTTTGGTTGGAAGGGTCCTAAAGATCATCTAGTTCCAGTCCCTTCCACCATGGGCAGGGATGCCACGCAGCAGATCAGCTTGCTCAGAGCCCCATCCAACCTGGCCTTCAACTCTTCCAGGAATGAGGCCACAACTTCTCTGGGCAACGTGTTCCAGTGCCTCATTACCCTCTGAGTAAAGAATTTCTTCCTAAGATCTGAATCTCTTTTCTTTTAGCTATTGAAAAGGCTACTTTTATATGCTCAGCTTTTAGTGTGCATATGCAGACCCCCTCTCCCTGGAGGATTTTAATATTCCCTATTCCCCCATCCCCATAATGCATTTCTCTTGTGCATTGCTTTGGCCTTCCAGTTTAGAGCAAAAAATTCCCCCAGAGGTTTGCTGCAGCATCATTCCTGCAGCATCATTCCTGCATCTCCTGCTCCTGGAGATGGCGCTTCTCTGAGCAGCAGAAGTGCAAGGCCCCTTGTGAGTGTGGCTGTTTTTTGGGTGGCTGAGGGGCAGCCCCAGCCCCTCTCCTGTGGCTAGGCACCCGCTATGGCAATGCCTTGGTGGCCATATGAAAATCTGGAAGGACTGATGAGTCAGGGTGGTGGGGCAGAGCTGGGACAGGTCTGGTTTCTGGGGCATCTCCTCCCATCACTACATCAGCCATTAGACACTGGCAGTTTTGCAGTATTGCTCCCTGCTTCTGACACTGCCCCAAGTCTACGTGGCACTAAGGCAAGTTTAGGGCAGACTTTGCTGAATTGGCAATTTATGAGCATAAATTTAATGCAATGGAACCCTGTGAAATTGCTCCTGGCTGTGTGCCTGGTGCTTCTGTTGGCACTGGAGGATGAAACCACCCAAGCAGTATCCCCTCGTCCTGTCCGTCCTCTCTGCTGTGTTGCAGCAGTGCATTCCTGCTCATCCTCACACACGTTTAGCAGGCCCTCACACAGTGCATGCCCTGTGAGCCAAGGAGCTGGGCTTCCCAACTGCAGAGCTCACCAAGGATGGATGCAGTCAAGCACCCATCCCCTTGGAAGTGTCCATTCCCTTGTGCTCAGTGCCTGCAGCCACACAGTCCAGCCCAGCATTGTTGCAGAGGTAACTTGGAGAAGTGAATTTCCCAGTGCATGGAGCAATGCCCTCCAGCTTCTTGCAGGCAGGAGGGCAGGTTTTGCTTCCTGGTCTAGCAGGGAGTTCCCTGCTGGCTTTTCGCCTGCGTGAACACTGCTTGGGTCAGCGGCGAGGTGGGGCTGGCGGAGCTGCTGGGGCCACCCGGTTCCTGAGCTGGCAAAGCAGACTTTCCTGTTTCAGCTGTGCACTGCAGCCACCATCCCTTCTGCACCCTCGGCTGCAGTGAGGTGGGGTCCCATCTCAGCCCACAGCATGGCCCTGCTACATGTGGTGGCTTGACTGGAGTCTGTGCAGCAGGGAGGGGAGACTGACGCTGGGAAGGATACTTGTCGGTAAGTCTGGATTTGGGAACCCAGTCAACACAGGGTGGGAACGAGAGTCAGGGTTCCCCCAGCCCCTTTTTAAGGAACATGGATGCTCGATGCTCCTAGCAGACTGCCCACTGAGACTCTGTCTCCTGTGGCAGACCTCAGCAGGGCTGTCTCCATTGTTCCCAAAGTGGTGGCTCAGTTCATTCTTCAGGGTTGGGATAAAGGTTTTCTTTTAAACCAGGGTCAGTGTTAGACTAATGTGACACAGCCTGTGGCAGGCAAAAAGTACTGGCACTCCTGATTCTGTGGTGGGTGGGTGCCTGCTCACCTGTGCTGTCCTGTCCACCCTTCACTCCAAAGCTGCAGCCTGGCACCTCTAAAATACCCGAGCGATGCTTCGGGTGCCCAATGACACAGAAATCCCAGGTGGCCCTGGACAAGTCATTTAACCTGCACCTTGTACCAGCAATGATGCTGCAGGGATGACAGCAATTCCCATGTCTCTCCAGCCCTATGCCAACATGCAGCAAAGCACACTGCTGGAAAAAGAAAGGATTCTTGCTGGCTCAATGAAGGGAAGTGCAGATGTGGTTTCCTCCTCTGCAGCAAGATCCCAGTGCAAGGAGTACCTTGGCAGAGCAAGGTGGAGTTGGCTGCTTGAGCAGGGACCCACCAGAAGGCAGGGCAGGAATCTGGGGCAGCAACAGGCACATCCTGCCAGCCTGGGCAGCGGGGCTGGTGCCACCCGTGCCGTGGTGGCTGCAGGTCGGCTCACCGCACAGCACGGCCCCGGGCACACCTGTCCCGGTGACGCGGAAGGAATTTGGCTATGAGGAAGCGTTCGTGCTAGAATAAGAACTTTGCCATGGGGAAAGCAATGCTGTAAAACCATCCTGCTTTGAATTTGAAGCCTTCCCTCAGGCTGTGTCAGCGTTGCCACGTGCACAGGCCGAGCTCATGGAAAGTTTCCGAGCTGGTGTGGCCCCAGCCTGGTGGCAGCACTGCCACCAGCAGCGAGGGCACCAGACCTGTGCCAACATTACCACTCCTCAGCCCTGCGACAAGAGGGGAAATAGCCAGAAAGGGGTGGTAGCTGATGATGGGCCATTCCTGGAGCTGAGCAAACCCTTCAGCTCCCTCTGTCTGGCCAGGGAGGAGTCAGCACAAAACAGCTCTTGGTTTTTGTCCCCTATAGCCAAGTGATTCCTCTTCTCAAAACGCCCTGGACCCCCCAGTCTCTCCCTTTCAGCAGGCAGACTTGCAAGGATATGAAGGAGAAGGCTGTATGGGAGGGGCTGGCTGGCACAGAGCCCTCCCTGCCAGCGCTCCCTCCCGCTCCATTTCACATCTCATTGTCAATGTGGCCAAGCTCTAATCACTTACCCTGAGCTCTATATTTTAATTGTGTTTGCTCTCATTAGAGCCCTGGGCTACAGGCAGCACACGTGCTACCGGAGAGGAAATCCCCACCCTGTTAATTTTGCCTCTGTTCCCAGGTCACCCCAGATTAGCCATGGCAGTGGCAGGCAGAAAGGGCACTACGGCCTCCCCACACATCAGCATCACCACCACGGCTTGGCCAGGCTCCCTGGACAGCTGGCTTAGCTGGATTCCATGTGAGTACTGAGTCTCTTGCCCTCCTCTCCCAGGCAGTGTTATCTGCTGGGGCTGCTGGACTCTGAGGTTTTATATTCACTTCACCCTCCCTTCAAATTCCATTTCCTAGTGGGCTCCACCAGGGTGGGATTACTGCAGAGTGGTACCATGCTGCTTCAGGAGCAAAGGGTATCTTTGCTACCTGTTTGGGGAATGGTCTTCAGTCACAGTCTCCCTGCATGGGGCCTGTCCAGCATTCTAGGGGCAATTTTGAAAGTACAACTCCTTAATGCTGAACCACCAGGAAGGGGTTTAAATGTGCTCTGTGTGTTTTGCTTGGTTTTAACTCTTTTATCCAACTCTGCGCCCTGAACATTGCACCAGTACCCAAATGGGCACTCATCACCGTGGCTGTGGCAGGGGCTGTTCTCCTCCTCCTCTTCCTCATCTGCATTGTCAAGTGCTGCTGCAGCAAGAAGAAGCCCAAGAAGAAGGAGAGGATCGGCCTGTGTGCCGTCAACAACTCCACCACGACCAACCTTGTGCGTCCTGACTTCCCCTCAATCCCACCTCCCTCCTCCCTGAGGGGTTTGCTGCTGCACTGCCCAGCCCCAGGGATGGTGGGAGCACGGCATGGCAGGGACACGGCTGAATGCATCCTGAGGGTACTGTTGCTCTCTGCCACAGGTCCAGCCTGAGATGGAGGACTTGGAGTGGGAAGTAGAGCAGAAGCGGCGAGGAAAGCTGCAGTACTCCCTGGAGTACAACTTCCGCATACAGGAGGTGGGGATGCTCGTGGCCGTGGCACAGCAGGGAAAAGCCATGCTCTTGCATGGTCACTCTTTGCTGCCCACTGGGGTGGATGCACCCTCTCCCACCTGCCTGCAGCCCCCCAGCTCTCATGCCTGCATGGTGTGAAGGCGTTCCTCACTGTTGCCCTCATTTCCCACGGAGCCCCCAGCTGGCTGACCCCATCTCCTCCACCCAGTGACCTTGTGCCTCACTCCTCTCCAGCTGAAGGTTGGTGTGAAGCAGGCGGTTGAGCTGAAGGCCATGGACAGTGGTGGCACGTCTGACCCATATGTGATTGTCTACCTAACGTCTGATATGAGGAAGAGATATGAGACCAAGGTTTACCGCAAGACCCTGAACCCCATCTTCAACGAGAGCTTCACTTTCCAGGTACTAAGCAAAGCCAATGATGTTTTCTTTGTCCCATAAACCGTGTGGCATAGACACTGCTCCCTGGGCAAAAACCTCTCCAGACAGGGAGATGCTTGTGCAATCAGAACTGGGAAATGTGAGAGAGGAATACCCTCATGGGGCAGGGCTGCCACTGACGAGTGAGTCCAGGCTTTTGGGTCCTCCCCTGCAGGTACCCCAGGCTGAGGTGTCTGAATCCACACTGGTGATGCAGATCTATGACTTCAACCGCTTTGCCAAGCATGACATCATTGGTGAGGTGCGGCTGCCCCTGGCCAGTGTCAACCTGCAGCATGTCATCGAGCAGTGGAGTGACCTGGCGGTGGCCAGTAAAGTGGAGGTTGGTCCTGGTGGCTGGGAAACTGCTGGGAGGGATGTGCTCTTGCTTGGCTTCCACCACCCCAAGAAGCAAGCCCTTAGGGGCAAGCATGAGAGTTGGGGAAACTCAGGAAACCTGGGGCCAGACTGGTATTCCAGCCTCAGGTGAGCTGGCTGCTCTGGCTGGTGCTAATTACTGGCATGTCTCCATCAGGAAGAGCATCTGGGTGAGATCTGCTTCTCGCTGCGCTACGTCCCCAGCACTGGCAAGCTGACAGTGCTCATCCTGGAAGCCAAGCAGCTGAAGCGGATGGACTCTAATGGACTCTCAGGTCAGTAGGGGCTACCTGTGCTCAGACCTTCCTCAGGAGTGGCATCAAGAGCTGCAATGCTTTAAAAACTCTTGGTGTTAAGACCTGCTTCCTGCTGCCACATATTCAGCCCTTGGCTGACTCCCAGACTCCCCCAGCACAGACACTCCAGCTTTGGGCAGTGCTGGAGGTATCTCCCAGGAGGAGATGTCATGGCTGAATTGTACAGGGAGCTTGGCAGGAGGAAGTGAGCTCTGAGGTGGTTGTCTCACTATGAGGAGTGACAAGTGGGATGCCATGGTCTCCTTGGGAATGGCTCAGGAAAGCTGTTTTGTGGCTGAGTTCTTCAGTCAAAAACTGTCACTTGTGCCAGGTGTGCCCTCTCTCTCTTCAGATCCTTTTGTCAAGGTGCATCTCATACTGAACAGAAAGAAATGGAAGAAAAAAAGGACAAGTGTGAAGAAAAACACCTTAAGCCCTTACTTCAACGAGGTGTTTGTTTTTGAGGTGCCTTTCAGTCAGATCCAGGTGGGTTTCCCTGAGGTGCCCAGGGCTGAGCAGGTCCCCACTGCAGCAAACCCCTTCCTACTGACCCTCTTTCTTGTGTCCCCTCCAGAATGTGGACGTGGTCATCTCTGTCTGGGATCATGACAAAGTGACCAAGAATGAGCCCATCGGCAAACTCTTCCTGGGCTGCCGAGCCACAGGCAACCAGCTGCGGCACTGGTCCGACATGCTGTCCAACCCACGCCGGCCCCTCGCCCAGTGGCACATCCTGCAGCCCCCAGAGGTGGTGGACAAAGCCCTGGGACTGAAGTCCCACCTCAAGCTGCCCCTGCACTCCAGATAGTGGGGGTCTCCTTCTCCACCCAGGGAGCAGGATGGTGGGCTTGTGGAGGAGCTTCTGCTCAGCAAGCTCTAGACATGTTGGTCCCAGCTCATTGTCAGCAAAGAGAGGACTGGGACTCCTTCTGGCCAAGAGATGATCTGGCTGCTGGTGCAACTCATGCTCTGTTTAATGCCTGGGGCAGGACAGCTCAGCATTCCAGGACAAGGATGTGGAGCAGAGGGTGCTAGAGGTGATGGTATGGATGCAGGAGCCAGCTCATCCCAACTGCTCATGGGCTCGGGGGGTGGGGGAAATACTCAGAGCTTCAGGCTCATGCAAAACAGAGTCCATTAGTATTTATAAAGCAGAGGGTTAATGTGCCAGTGGCCTGGGTAGAAAGTTTCTTTAGTTGTGAATAACTTGGCAAGAAGTGTGTTCCTGGAAAGGCTTCATGTGTCCTGTGAAGGATTTTAAACAAGACCAAGGTATTGAAGAATGTAAGAGGCTTGAGAGAAGGAATACATGTGGGTGAGGAAAGTGTTGGAGATGTCAGACTAGCTATTTAGTGCCTCTGCAATGTGTGTTCTGTCCTGGCTAGAGGTTAAATGAAAAGCAATGTGGCTTCACACTTAGCCCATTCTCAGCCCATGATGATTTGTGCACATTAAAATGTGGCTCAGGCTCTTGGACTCACCAGTGACCATCCCCATGGACCACACAGATGAAGATGCACAGTGTCAGCTCCATTCACCTCACGTGGTCCTACAGCAATGGTACAGCAAGGTTTGCACCTCTGGCACCTGGAGTCCTGCCAGGGTGGAGGGGCTGAGGCTCTTGCTTTCACACTGTGATCACACCACCCTGGTAAAGGCTGGCTTGCAGCCCTCACGTCACTTCTGGGCAGGTTTCATGTTTAATCTGGGAGGCTTTGTGTGGCCACATGTCCTGCCCCACCCTGCTTTGTGGGGCCTTGGTGTGGGGGCTACATGAGTAAAGATCTCTCCTGGAAGGATGAGGGCATGGGAGTAGTGCCCCTACATGCCCTTGAATATGCTGCAATTTGGGGTGACTCCAGAGCAGCTTCTCTGAGCCATCTGCAGGAGGAAGCTCCCTGCACTGGGCTAGAGGAAGAGGGAATTGCTCCTTTTCTAAAGTGCTTCTGCTACAAAGCAGCCACAGAAAACAAGATCTGGGCTCATGCTGTGGAACTTTGGGCCTAAAGACAAAAGTCCTTTGCACCACAGGGAGCTGCAGGCGCAGTGCTAATAGCTATTGCCTGGGCTCTGGAGGGGAGAGAGCCTGGCACATTAATGGAAAGCTATTAATATTAAAAAGCAGTTAATCTGTGATTACCCAGAGCTCCACAGAGCGACTATCCAAGAGTTAAACAAACACGAAGCTGAGGAAGATTATGAAAAGTCTCGATAGAGATTAATGACCTGAGTTTAACCATAAAAAGCTGCTGCTGTGTCTGCCTCCTGATGAATATTCTCCAGGCTTCGCTGTGGCTGTGAGGAGGGGAGAAATGACAGGGTGGTTTTGAGATGACTGTAACAAGTGAAGTGTGGCTTCTGCTGGGGAAACAGCATCTGCTGGCAACCACTAATGAGATGGAGGAGGAAATCAGTCACCTGAGAAAGACTTGTAAAGGAATGTTTTAAAGCCTCAGCCTTCAGTCTCAACTTTAGAATCAGATTAGAACAGGCTGTGCAAAAGGGAACATCTCTGAATTGGGCTTGAGGTTCAAAATCTATTGTCAAGTTGGTTTTTGGTGATGCTGTTGAGGTGATTTAGGGCCATGCAGCATTGAGAAAGGGCTTTTGGAGGTTTGGAACAGGCAGTTCTTATTTTTGTGTGTATGTATGCTTTTTCCAGTCCGTCTATTTTGAAGTCATAGCCTTGAGCTTCACTACATAATTTATGGGGCTGGGCACAAAAGTATGTGCCTATTAGTCCCAAAAGAGATGCAATTGAAGGAAGTGCAGAGACAGCCCCCTCTTGAGAAAAGTTACTCCCCATACCAGTGCCTGCCCCTTCCCTCTCCAGCTTTGGCCTTGCTCAGTGCTGGGTGAGCAGAGCTGGAGAGGGAAGCCCATGGTGCTTTCAGGGGAAAGGCCAGGGAACGTGGGAGTGAGCACCCAGCTGAGCTGGCTCTGGGCAACCTGGAGCGAGCCTTTGTGCAGTAAAACTCAGCAAACCGAGTTGTTTGTTCAGGAGGGAGAGGCGAGCAGGTGGGGATGTTCTCCACCCAGCTCCAGTTTTTAATGCACTGCCAAGGCTGCTTTCCCCCCCGTCATAATTTCTCCTTCTCAGTAAGCCTTGTGTGCTTACAGCACGGCTTTGAGCACTGTCCTCCCCTGGCAGGATCCTCTTAGAATCTGCTGGCAGCTGTTTGAAGCAGGGCTGGTGGATGTGGGCTTCATTTCATGCCTTATTTCACCCCAAATGAACACAGCCTGCTCGGCAGCCTGTTTGCAGGAAGGCAGACAGCCCTGTCTCGTGTGCAAGCCATCTCCTTTTCACCTCCCTGTGGCCTTGGCGGGGCTGGCTGTCCCTCATCCATCAAAGCCAGATGTCTAAGCATCTTCTGCCTCACCAATGCTCTTCCTGCACTTGGAGGGTGGAAGATGCCACAAGAAGAGACTGTAAAGGATGGGGAAAACTCCCAGCTCCTCCTCAGCTTGTGCCTGTGCTGGATTCCCGTGCCTGCATCTAGAGGGCAGGGCAGTACGTGCTCTGGGCTGTGTCATCTGCTCTGTGGCCCCCATTAGAGCCTCACCAGCCAAGATTTCTTCTTCTGGAGATGGAGCCAGTGTTCAAGAGGGAGAGAAAGCAGCGATGCTGTGCAAGCCCGTTCCCATGGCTGCACAGCCCCTTGGTAGCCATGTGGGTGTCTCAGTGCCTTTTTCAAGAAGGCAGGAGGTGGATGGGGAGTTTGTCTCTCTGCATTTAATTTGCAGCTTTGCAGGTCAGTGGCAAGGCAAAAAGCAGGGCTTGGGCCAAGCACAGGTCTGTTAAAAGAGACAAGAAACACCGAAAATTGAGACGTTTGTTTATTATTAAGATTTATAATCTCAATTATTTACATCCAGATCCAAGACTTCTGACCTACAGAACTCCCTCCCAAAGTGAATTATTCCCTCATTCAGTATTTTTTTTGTTATTTGTCTCTGCACTCAAGGAAATAAAATGGGAGGGCTGCACAAGGAGAAGGCTGAGCCTCATATGTGCTTGTCACCAGTCGTCTGCAGTGAGACAAAAATGATTATGAGTTGTCATCGTTCGGCCTGGGTATGGGCTGGCTGTCATCCAGCCACAGATTTTTTGGCTAGTCTTAGAGATTTTGAGAGCTGGAGAGCATCTAAGCTCTTCTCACTAGGAACAAACATGCCTGCTTTATAAATATTCCTTAGCTAGCATCTTTATGCCTTGCAGTTTTATGGGCAAAATGTGTACTTTTGTCATGCATGGGATTATTTTTTAAAAGTGCCAGCTCCTGGATCCTTATCCCTAGTTACCTTTTTATATCCTCTTTCCTCTACCCTTTTCTCCCCCTTTTTCCTCCTCCCTTTTCTCAGCCCCTTTCCCCTACTCTGACTGCTGGAGTGGCTCTTGTATCTGTTCTTTCCCCAGGCTGGGCTTGCTTTGCTTCTGGATACAGAAATATTGTTTGGACCACTTTACATCTCAATGCACCTTGCCCTGCCATGGGCAGGAAGGGGCTGGTAGAAGCCCTAGACAGTCCACTCTGAGAAACAGGAATAATAATGGGTGCACAGAGGTGCTTCCCAAAGTTCCAATTTGAACTTTGTGGGCAGACCTGGAAAAAACAGACTTCTCATTTCTCCATATTTCAGGTCTAAGTAGGATGGAACCAAAGGAGGAGCAGCATGAGGATTTCATAGCTTTCATGCTGCTGGGCAAAATGTGCTCCCTGAAGAAGTTCGGGGTGAATGGGTACCCATCAATGATGACTTGTTGCATGTCAACAAGATGGGAATTTCTCAACCAGCTTTGCTGACTTCACAGAGAGGTGATGAAACCCCTGAAGGCACTTATTGCCACTCAATTTGAGCAGAAACATGCAGAGAGTCAGGAAGAGGAGTTTAACGGAGCTGAAAAGAGACCTTGACCTGCAAACAGCCCAACCTGTATCGTGTTTTACATTCTGTGAGCAGCATCTGGGAAGACGGTGGGTTTGCAAACAAGTGTTCCATCACCCTGCTCATGAACGTGGACATTGCAGATGTCCTTGTCTGAGCCTGAAAATCTCTGTGTGGGAAATGGGCCCTTGGAGTTGTGAATTAGTCATTGCTGACTTAGTAAAAGAAACATTGCCCCCTTGGAAGAGCTGGTGAAGAGCTCGGTGCCTGTGAAAGAGGTGGCTGTCTCACGTGGAAACCAGCCCAGGTGGCATCTGGTTTTGCCCTGGATAGAGAGCATTTTCCTCTTAACTTTTACACACAAGCCAGAGCAGTTTAGACGTAGAAGCCTGAATCTTGGCATTAAGGTTTTCACTTAAGACAGTCCAGTTAAAACCCTTGGCTTTGGTGTTCACTCTGGATTTGACAAAGGCCTCTGCTGAAGGTTTCTCTGCTTTGGATGCACTCATCCCACATCACTCCCAACTTTTGCACATGGGCTAAACTCAGGTCTGCCTTCATAAAAGGAAATTCATGTCTCAGATACTCTGTGAATTAATTGGCTCTGGGGATGTTCTTGAGAGATGCTCAGTGGGACTGGATGTTGAGTTTTCCTGGCTCAGCCTTCTCCTACTCTGAGCTCATCCCCTCTGTTGCCCAACCTGAATGAGAAGCTCCTCCAGAAGAGCTTCCAGAGGCCCATCTCCCTGCAGCTGTCTTCTCCCAAGGCTTTCTCAGTGTGTACAGGTAGGTGAGGCTGCTAAGGTCTTTGCAGCTGATAGCTTTTTTTTTTTGTAAAATGAGGTGTCTGGGATCACAGAGCATTACAAAAAGCCAATGTGATTGGAATGGATAAGTTCTGGAAAATCACTCCTTGCACGACTATTGGTTTGTAGAGGAATTGCTGATCTTGGGGAGAGAAGAGCTTTGTGATTTATTAGTGTTTCTTGAGCTCTATGGCCTTTTATTTTTTTTAAGTAACATCATGTTCTTGCTGCTGCTTTGTCTTGGCACAGAGAGCCTGAAAGACCTTTTGAGAGCAAAGACATGTTTCAGCCATACTCATTTGAGCACACAGAGGTCTCAGCTTGTTCCCCAGACACGTTCTGGGTCATACTCTGGTCTTAGCCAGGCTTTGAGGATGTGCATATACATGAAGGATTGTGATCAGGTGTTGGGTCACTTCTGTAATACTATCCAGGGGTAGGCTGGGTGGAAATTCCAGAGGGATCGCCTCCTGTACACATTAAATGCTGAAGGCCTGGGCACAGACCAGCCCTGGTCAGAGGTGTTCACTTTCCAGGGGGCTGCCAACTCAGCCTGGATATGGATATGGATATGGATATGGAAGCAGGGCCACACTGTAGGAGAGTCAAAGGCTTCTGTTCCTGGGCAGAAGTGAGAAAAGCTCCTGAGAGGGTGAGGTTTGTGCCCAGGCCTGTGCTGGGAACTGAGTGACCCTAACCCTGGCTATGAACACAGACTCTCCATCACTGGAGACTGAAGCACCTATGTGTTACCATGGTCACAGGGGACTTCATCCAGAGTAGTTTTCTGGTTTTTGCCCTCCCTGAAGCCTCTCTTCACTCCTTTGTGTTTTCATTTTGAAATGCTGCCCTTCCTCCAGACTCTAGCTTGTAGTGAGCTGCAAGCTCACTCTTCCAGAAGCCCCCACCAAAGAGTGTCCCTTTGGAGTGGAAGGGATCATTAAAATTAATTGTTTCTCTTCAAGGCCAGTGTTTATATCAAAAGCAGCCATGTGTGAGTACTTAAGTGTGTCCATTGGGAGCTGTTCTGTTCCTACAGGCACTTGTCCAAGTTGGTGAGTATAAAAGTGAAGTGCCTGAAGAGAAGGTTGGGGATGTGGTGTCCATAGTCCTGCAATGTGGCAAGACACCCTGGTCACTCACCTGAGCACCATCAGCAGGAGGCAATGACTGCTTCAGCAAGATTGGTCTGCATGTCTCCTTGCTCATGCAGCTGGAGACATGAGTTTTTGTGGTCTCACCAGTCCTTTCCTTTATGTTTGGCAGATGGAAGAGGCTGAGAGCAGAGGGGCAGTCCACAACACAGGATCCCTGATGCAGGCCCACAGATCCCTGCCATGCCCATTGTGCATTCCTCTAGCTCAGGTGAAGGGAGATGAGGGAAAGGAACAAGGTCAGATTCTCCACAGGAAAGTACCCAAGTATGAACAGTGCATCCATTCCTGGTCCCTGCCTAATCACGTCAGTAATACCTAATATTCAGAGCCAAACACCTCTTTGAAGGATGTGCCTGGAGCTTCCTTATGCCTTCCTTGAGCTTTTCTGCAAGGAACTTGTTCTTTCATCACTCAAACACTTACATAATTCCTTTGGAAACTTCTGTCTTTCCTAATGTTAACCATGACTTCTAACTTTGACACAGATTTGCTTTTCCGTTCTTCCTTCTCCTCACTGGGTTTCTTCCTCATGCCATTTAAGTCTGGTGCTTCTTTTTTTTTTTTTTCTGGGAGAACTGCCCTGCAGCTTAACCCCTGTGCAAGGCAGCTCCATGGAAAGCCTTTGACCTTCTGCTCATCCTATTGCCACCCCTCACCACCCACTCCTCCCGTATCCTAAAAGCTCTTCTGTTGGCCAATATTTTGTTCATGAGACTTCTTTCTTTGAACTTCATTCTCCCAGTATATCAGGCCAACACTTTCCTGTCACAAGGTGATAACCACACCCTTGAAATTCTGAGCAGATCTCTTTTGCTGTGCTGCATGCCTGGACTGCAGAATGCCTTCATCTCACAGAGCTGAAGGAAACTCCCTGGCTGTGGGGAATTTTGAACGGAGAACTCCCCCAGTTTTGATTCCTTCACCAAGAGCTGAGTGGCTCTCTGGGGGACTGATGGGCCAGCAGAGGCCAGAATGTGTAGCTGCAGCATTTCAAAGGGACATATCCCACGTGGACCCAGCCCTGCCCAGGCTGGGAGTTTCTCCCTCCTCCACCTGGTCCCACGGCAAACCCCTGCAGGACACCAGCCCCATAGCAAGGACTTGCTTGTCCTTCAGCAGCATCTGCAGCACTACTTGCCTGGTGCTGAGGGTGGTGAAACAGGAAGCCTGCAGCAAGGGATTTGCCACTATCTATATAATGTCTGGGAGGCGCCTGGAAAATATTGTCAGGGCCATGTCTGAATCAGCCTAAAAAGCCCCGGCTGGAAGAGGAGGGAGCGCCTGGCCTGGGGGAGGAGAGCAGGAGCTGTTTGGGTCCCTGTCTCCATGGGATCCCCTACACACACGCACTACATGTGCTGTGACCAGGGCTGGGGAATATTTCCAGCCACTTTTCCACCTGCTTCTCCTTCAGATCCACGGAGATTTGGGTCTGGGTCATCCCACGGAGGGGATTACCCTTCTTGCTGTCTACACTGCCTCTGCCTCTGCCTGGCTGGATTTGAGTCTTGAGGCTGCCTGCAGCAGATCTACAGCTTGCTTTTCAAAAATAATTGAGTTGTGTTGAAGTATTTCACACAGGGAAGAGCTGCAAAGTATTTCCTGTGTGAGGGAAATAATTGAGATTAAAAAAGCGTGCTAGTGCTAGATGGCTTATTAAGGCATTGCTCTTGCATATGCTGTCAGCAGTGGATATTTGGGGTGCAAGCTCTTCTTTCTCTTCCTTCCTGAAGGGAAGAGTTGCTCCCAAGCCCTTGAAGGCAAATTGAGTCATGCCCTTGTCCCTGGACAAGCCGCTCTGTGTATCCAAGGGGAAATTTTAATTAGAAGCCTTGCAGATGGATGGCTGTGTGCAGGGAGCCTGGGCTCCCCACAGATTTGAAGCCGTATCTATTGTGACTGGTTGGTGCAGGAGAAGAGAGAGGAAAGCTCCCTCCTTGGCACTTCTGAGGAAAAACACTTGCCCAGCTCCTCCAGATCCCACGGTAGAAGATGTTCTCCTCCTCCCCACCCCTCCTTCCCTGGGGGCTGCCCTCTCCTGTTCTCCTGCTGGCCTGGCCTGCCCCAGCCAAGGGAGGTGCACAGGGGACTCTTGCACATCATTGGTCTGAGAAGGTCTCCATGCCCTTAAAGAGAAGGTGGATTTTCTGCTGAGCCACCCGAGAAGCCCTTTTATACCTCCTTACTCAGCCAGCTGCCTGCGGCTCGTCTGTCCATCCTGTCCAGCCAGCACGACTCTGATTTTCTCCAGACTTGGGTGAGCCTTTTTGCCTATCTCCTAATGACCCAGCTTGCTCTTCGGGAGTGATGGGGGAGCAGATTTACTTACCTGAGTGCTAAGGAGATAAATTCCAGGTGGGGATGGCCTGCTGGGAGAAACAGGGGTGCTAATAACACTTTTGCTTGTTCGAGAGGGTCTGTGCATTGGAAAGGTTCCCTCTGTCTCTTCCAGTGAGCTTGTTTTCTTTTTTATTTCATGCTTTCCCCTGCCTTGGCTGGTTCTGCTCTCAGCTGGAGTGGCGAGGGCGAGTGGAGCCTAACACTGACATCCCCAGGGCCATAGGATTCAGGATCCTTGGTGACCCGGCTGTGCTCCCTACTCATACCCCTTCCTCCAGCTCCCTACCCGGCCCTTGCAGCGCCTTCCTCCTCAAAAACACCCTCGGACAGGCACCGACATCCAAATTGACGGTGTCCTCCCCGCAGAGCAGGTGATGCAAATCCCGCATCGCGGGCACCCAGCCTCATCCCGGCGTTGTCCCCTTGTCCCCGCGGCGTCGCCGCGGCCGGAGCGGGAGCGTGTGTGCGGGGCAGGGATGGCAGGGATGGCAGGGATGTAAAAATAGCCGGCGTTCCTGGGCCGGCCCGGCCCGCAGCTGCAGCCCCGCCACCTGCGGCCGCCAGCGCCGCGCATCGCCGCGGGTCACGGGGCTGGCACCGCGCACGGCTGCCGGCCCGGCAGACAGCTGCAGCTCCTTCTGCGGCTCCCTGGCCATTTTTAGAAGCACTTCCCCCCGCTCCCCTCCTCTCCGAAGCAATGTGATGGGCCCGCACATTTTCCAGGATAAAGTTTCCTTGGCCCGGCTCCTGCCTCGGGCGTGAGCCCCCGTTAACACTTCCCCTCCTGGCAGAGCCTCCCTCCAAGACGGGCAAAGCACTGCGTTCTGGGGCCTGCTCTGCCCTGCAAAGGACATGCAAGCAGCAGATATTGCCCTGCTACAAAAGTAAAATTCTATTTATGTGGAAATCATTTACAGCCAAGCAAACTTCCTTAATACGCTGCATCGTACTTGTGAAATTTCCACTTAAAGCAAATGCAAAGAATCGTCTGGGGAATCTTTTGGCGCCTGTATCAACTCAACCACAACTTCCAACTTGCTCTACGTCACCTGTGCTGAGGTTGCTGCAACAGGCTCCCCTGTCCCATAGGATGAGTGCATACACTGGCAGCAGCATCCTCTGAGGTCCTTCCTTGTCACCTGGAGTCACTGCCAGCCCTTTGCAGGCTTTGGGATATTTCTTGTTTATGAAGTGAAGTAAGGATGAATGGCAAAGTGAAGCAGTAAACTGAAACTATTAAAGCAGTAAACTGAAAATAGTTTTTGCTTTTTCTTCCTTCATCGAATAAAATGGTTTCCTGGGGGTCAGACAAGAAACAAATATGCAGGAATCACTGTCACAAGTCTCTCTTTTTCTGGCTCAACCCCGTTTGGTCTTTTCCAGAAATCCCTTGATGCTGTGGTTTGTATTATTATGATGAGATGTTTGCTTCTCATCTACAAACTGCAGCCTAGTTCCCTATATGATGAAAAATTGGTGAAGTTGGGAAATAAGAACAGACCTGTTCCTCTTTTTATTTTCTAGAGGAGTCTTGCTTTGTTTTTAAACCCAAGAAAGTGACCACAAGCATGAATAGTTGTAAACTTTTTTCTTGGTTTTCATTTCAGGCTCACAACCATCTAAACCAAGATGTCTGAGTAAGTTCCCGTTTTTCTGTCTCTAATATAAAACTTTTGTTCAACTGCCAAATTTTATGCTTGTTAAGATTCTTCTGCTTATTTCCAGTTAGGATGCTAACTAAATTTTTTTCCTCTTTCCCCTTTCTCTTCCTTCCTTTCCTTGTCCATCTGCTTTTCCTGAACAGTGAAGAGGTAAGTGTGTTTTGCTGGGGTTTTTCCTTTAGCAATGCTTATGGCAGCAGTCCTGGCTTCGCCATTTCTCCCTAGGAAAATCAGCTTCTGGGTGTGTGTGCGTGGAAAGAACGGCTCATGGTTATTTTCTTGCTGACTCCTCCTGGTAAACACGTGAAGGAGAAGAAAAATCCCTTTTGAAAGACGTTTTTTTGTCCCCTGGCTTGGAGTTAGATGCTTTTTTTCCCTCCATTCCTGGTTCCCCAGCTGGCCACGAGATGGTGCTGGGAGGGCAGTGGTCCAGAGCCGCCTCTCCTCCATCATCCATCCACCATCCCGCCCTTGGCCTAGCAACCTCTCCTCCTTCCCTACACCTAGCCCTTCATTTTCTACCCACTGAGCACTGACAAATCCCTTCTCAAAGGCAATCCAGGGAGACCTGGATCCAGGGGAGTGTGAGCAGGGTGGAGGTTGCATTCTTAGCAAGTTTTTTCTGGCTTCTGGCAGAGCCAGGTGGGGCTGGGGGAATCTGGAGAAATGCAGGGGAAGGTGTGGGAGGATTGTTTGTGGCTTTGTCACTCCACATTTCCTCTTAGCAAATTGCTCCATCCTTCATTTCTGCTTGGCATCTCCCCATATGTCTGAAACACCACAAGCTCCAGCTTGTTCTCACTAAGAGAAAAGAGGATGTCAGGGACACATAGAAATGCCACAAAATGGTACTGATATCCAACATGTTCTTCTACTCCCCATCAAACCCAGAACTCCCAGAAAAAGCTGGGAGGACACTCTTTGCTAAGGAACCAATTTTCAGATGGAGAATAAGCCCTGGACTAACAGTCCTCAAGGGATCTGATTACCCTGGTTAGTAGTGTGCTGCATCTCTGAGCTGGGTGCCTTTTTTCTGCAGAGCCCTCCAGCCCTGTCAGGAGGGCCTGGGCACCATTTACATATGCGAGACATGTCAGATTTTGTCACATTTCACTCTGCACATCCTTATCCACTTCCTCCTCTATGCAGCACAGACCCACACCCAAGCACTGCTCTCTACTCCCCTCCCCTTAGCATATCAGATGTGTTTCAGCCCATCTCAGCCAGGCCCAGTATTCTGGGTGAAGTGCTCAGGAAACAGCTGAAATGCAGAAGTTGTGGTTTTTTTTAACAAATAGGAGTCCTGTTGCTGCTGGTCCACCATGACAGGGACAGAAAGGCAGCCTATGGTCGTGTCTGTCCTCCAGCTGTGATGAACCTCTGCTTCAGCATCACTTGTGCTGGGCCATTTCAGCTCCAAGAAATTGCACAGCCTCCATGTTTTCACCTGCCTGGCTGTCCTTGTCACCAGAGTGTCAGAAGGGCACGTGCCCTGGACTGCTCAGAAAGACAACCCACAGCCCCTGAGTGCCCAGGGACATGGGGTCATTAGCTTGAGCACAAAGTAAAACACATCTGAGTGAAGAGCAAATTAGAGAAAAGGCTAAAAGTTCCAAGAAGCCAAGTCTGCAGCCATATTTTATACATGTATTTTCAAGTTCATCACCCTTGTTATCTTTCCCTGAGGGACTTTTTAGGTTTTAGCTACTTGAGATTGGCAAAGCTGGGTTCAGCAGGGAGCCTCTTCCTTGAGTGCTGCTTGTTTGGGTAACAACTGTGTGTCAGGATGGAGCCATCTCCCTGGGAGAGCTGAAGCTCCTTGGTGGACTGTGGGACTGCACAGGGAAGGGCAATTTAAAGGGGAATGGGCACTGATATCCTTCTTTTCTCTTGTTTCTTCCACTTGCAGAAAAAGAGGAGGGCAGCCACTGCCCGTCGGCAGCACCTGAAGGTAGGTGGCACTGCTGTGGCTGTGTGATGTGTGTCCCGACCTTCCCACCTCCCATCCCAAGCCAGCCAGCTCCCAGCACTCTCCCTACTAGAAGAGGCCACGATGCACAATGTAGGGGCCTCCCACCCCACTCCTTACTGGGTCTCCATCCAATGGAAATGGTGGTATTGATGGGAACTCCACCAGGACTCCCATTCCCCTGATGACCCCTCTATCCTCCTTCCTTGCTTCCCCCTGCACTGACCCTTCTCCTGCTGCCTTCCAGAGTGCTATGCTCCAGCTTGCTGTCACTGAAATAGAAAAAGAAGCAGCTGCCAAAGAAGTGGAAAAGCAAAACTACCTGGCAGAACATTGTCCTCCTCTGTCACTCCCAGGATCCATGCAGGAACTTCAGGTACAGGCTTCTTTAACCCTTTCAGTGCTGGAGCAGAAAACATTTGACTCCATCAGTCAGCCTGGTGGATCTAGACTGACCTTCCTCTCTTGACTCTCTCCTCACCTGTGTTACCTGGAGCCAGATGAACATGCAGCTGGCTTGAGAAGCAGGTGGGGTCTCCCTGCAAAAAAAAGGGGTCTGGCTGGCAGGGAAGATGTGTTTTAAACGATGTGTTGAGGCAGCATTTCCAGTAGCATGGAGATTAGGAGCTGGCTGAAAAGCCCTTGTTCACCTCAATCCCATCTAGTCCTCTGTACTGAGGGCTTTCAGAGCCAGAGTGGTCAGGAGAAGAGTGTGAGTCCTAGCAGTCAACATCCCTCTTTGCTTTCTTCCCAGGATCTGTGCAAAAAACTTCATGCCAAGATAGAGTCAGTGGATGAGGAGAGGTATGACACAGAGGTGAAGCTACAGAAGACTACCAAGGAGGTGAGTTTCCCCTGGAGTCGTCCTTCAGGGGAGTCTGCAGCCCATTCCTCATGCCTCCCTGCACTGCTTGGGTCCATCTCATGAAACCCATGCCCTGCTGTCTCTCCATCTCCCTCATTTCCTCGCCCCCAGCTGGAAGACTTGAGCCAGAAGCTGTTTGACCTGCGTGGCAAGTTCAAGCGGCCGCCGCTGCGCAGGGTGCGCATGTCGGCTGATGCCATGCTGCGGGCCCTGCTGGGCTCCAAGCACAAGGTCTGCATGGACCTCCGAGCCAACCTGAAGCAAGTGAAGAAGGAGGACACTGAGAAGGTATCCTTCCCTCTTCCTTTTTTCCCCTAACAGGAGTGCCCCCCACCCTTCAGAGCTCACACCTCCCTGTATGATAGATAGGGTTGAGAATGACTCTTTCTCAATAATGTTCTTCTTCCTGCTCAGTATTTCCTGCTCTGGCACCCATGATGTTGAAACAGGAGGGTGCAGTTCAAAAAGATGTGTAGCATGGGGGGAACTGGGTTCCTCTTGGTGACATGAGGGTTTCCACGGGTGGGCTAGTGTGGGGCCTGGGCCAGGTGGGTTCTTAGGCTGGCACCATTCTCACAAACAAAACCATCCCTCCCCAGGAGAAGGATCTCCGTGATGTTGGTGACTGGAGGAAGAACATTGAGGAGAAGTCTGGCATGGAGGGCAGAAAGAAGATGTTCGAGGCTGGCGAGTCCTAAGCACCTGTGTCTCCACACCCGCCCTCCTCTCCCCGCTGTCCCCGCCGCCCCGCTGGGCTCAGGGGCACTGACCGAGTGCCATTTCTCTCTAGTTTTGCCAAGAGCTGCATCATGGCAGCAGTGATGTAAATAAAGCTTTGGTGGGAGAGGTGGGTGTTGCCTGCCTGGGTGGCCAGACCCTGACTCGTGCCATGGTGCCAGCAGGGACTGCCTCACTGTGGCAGTCCTGGTGGGGATGGGGAGGCTTTGGCAGGGGCTGTGCTGAGGACATGGTGCATCTGTCTGCTGTTGGTCCCTGTCCAAAGCTGCAGATGCTCATGCCTTTCCCCAGTGGTGAAGAGACAAAGAGATAACAATCCGAGCCCCAGGAGGTGTTGCAGAACCTCAACCCATGATGGCATGATGGCATCAGCAGATGCCGGGGCAGAAACAGACCCTTTGGCTCCAGTGGGATTTGAGAGGTGCAAAGTCAGGACAACCTTGGCAGCACCTGAGGCAGCACCCTGGGACTGGTACAGTGTAGGGTGCTGTGGTTTAGAGATAATGGCTGTCATCAGAGTGGCATGGGGAGCTGGGGAGGCATTGGGTCACTCCTCTCCCTGCCATGGTGGGGGATGTCTATGCTGCCCACTTTTTTTTTGGGTTAGCCTAGGGCATCCAAATTTCTAGCTGCCGACAAGTAAAATCTTAAATCAGTCTCAATGTTTTTTAAAACAAAACAAAACAAAACAAAACAAAACAAAACAAACCCCCAAATTCACCTTCCTTCTGCCCTCCCCCATCCCCCCAAACCCTCAGCCCATGAAGTTTCCGGCACAGCTCACTTCTGCTGAGCACAGGAAAAGCGAAACAGTGGCAGCACCCGGTGCTGGAGCTGTCCGTGGGGCTGCCGTGCCAACCAGGGGAGAAGATGTCAGACTCGGAGGGGTGCCAGGAGGGTGCAGAAGGAGTGAGCCAAGTGGGAGATGAATCCCCTGAGGAGAACGAGAGGTGAGGCTTGGGGACATCACAGCTGCCTTCCAGTCCCAGGATACTGGGAAGCTGGGAGGGCAGGGTGGGAAAGGAGAATGTGCAATCAGAACAATGATGACCCATGAGGCTGGAGTAGGTCAGATGTTCTGTCAGGCTTTTGACAAGCTTCTCCAGCTAGGAGGAGACTTAGATTTCCTAAAGGTCTCATCCCCTTTGAACTTCAAAGCCCTTGGGAAGGGGTTGATCGAGTGGGGAACCCCAGCTCCAGAAGCAGGCAAGCTCAAGTGAGAGGTCTGGTGACCCGGAGCTGCTCTGTGGCCGAAATCAGCCCCATCTCTAAGACCTCTCTAATGTGGAGATCAGCTGCCTCCTCTCCTTGCTGGGCACATCTGATTTCCTGCTGCATCTCCTACATCTCCAGCTAAATTAACCTGGCAGTGTTTCAGGCTGGCTGCTGTAAAGTTATATATCTCCCTATGCCTCTGCTCTGCTTTACTGCTTTATCAGCAGCGACTGTTAAATTTGGGGTCTCTCCACTTGAATACAGACAGCTTTCCATGAGGGCTAAAAGAAGGCAGATCAGTAGCAGAGACCACATCCGTCTGTGGTGGAGGCAGACAGATAAGCTCGGCCAAAGTGCATCACCCTGAAGTACTCAGATTTGGACTGGATTCAGGCTGAGCATCCAGGGAGCTTAGGAGGCTACCTGATTTTTCACCTCCAGCTTCAAAGCTTGCATTAGCATTTCTCTCCAAGGCTTCTGAGAGCCAGCACAGCTAATGTTGACAGGAAAAAGAACCCCTTGAGTGACAATGAGAGGAGAAAGGTGTGTCATCTCCTGTCACCAGTGGTTGCAGTAAGTGCTTCGGCTGACACCTGACAGCAATTAGCCTTGGCTGAAGATTTGACTGGAAGCTTCAAAAGGTGCTGGAAGGCTCTGTACACGACTGGCTGCTGAAACAAAGGGGAAGCCTTGGCTGCTGGGGGAGCACAGGGGTTTCCTCAGCACCGGGATCGATGTGATTCCCAGCATTGTTCCTGCCTGGCTGTGCCTCTGCCAGGCTCAGCTCACCTTGCAGCAGCAAGGAGCAGGTGCTGTGCATGGCCCAAGGCAAGCAAACCTTGCTGCAGTAAGTGCAGGTATTTTGGTGCATGCAGGGCCACCGGTGGGGTCTGCTGGTCTGCTGGGGCAGGGCTGGGTCAGCTTGTTCCCTTTTCTGTTTCCTGCTGGAGTTTCAGCTCAATAAAAAGCTGTCTGGAGGAGTCTGTTCTGTAGCACACAGACCCTTACAGCCTTGTTTAAAAAGAGTGTGAACACTGACAGCAGGGTGGCACATCCTTTCCTCTCTAGCTGTGCTTTAGAATCTTAATGAAATATGAAAATTGATGGCAAAAATAGCAGGCAGAAATCAGTTCCTCTTTGTTTTAAGAATATGAGGAATTACTTTCCCTTACAATTTGTACAATAGTTTCACGCGCAGCTCTAAATTTCTCTTGCTTTTCCTTGTGCTGTTTAAATGCTTGCTAGACTCTGGTGATTTCCACTCCCAAAATGGAGGAAGGAAGTGTTTACTTGCTGTTTGGGTCTACCTTTTCTCACCCTGTGGCTAGCTTATCTCCCTGATCTCTCCTTGATGAAAAAGCTCTTTCCAAGCTGACCCACGGATGGATAGAGGCAGGACAAGGCTTTAAGGACAGCATGATGGATGTCAGGGCAACCAATCTTGTGATGGAGCTGCCAGGAAAGTAAATCCCAAGACTCCTGGGTGTAGTGCACAGTGGGAGATGTCAGGAGAAAAATACTGGTGCTATGTTTCCATAGACAATGAACCTTGTCTATTTAACTGTGCCCAGTGTATATAGGACCATACATTAGGAAATGCCCTAGAAATATTAATTTGAACATAGCCTACTCTGTTTCCTCATACAAACTGGGACATACTGGCAAAGTCCTGCTGATGCTGGGGTAACACTGCTTAAACCAGACCAGTCTTATGCTCTCTTCCATAAAATGGAATTGCTGTATGGGAAACTGCTGTGGTGTGAGCCTTCCCAAAGAAGTGAGAAGCTGGGAGGAGCTCTGGAGAGGTGGCTGCTTGGGCTGTCCTGCCCTGATGGGGGGAGGTTGGGAGCCCAGTACATACAGGGTCTGTTAGTCACAGCTCTCTCTGTAAAGCTCTGGAGGCTTCAGGTGCCTCCTGCCCTTACTTCCTACACCCATGGCCACATCCCTTGGGCTGTGCTCTGCAGGATATCTGCACTTGGGAGGCAGATTGGCTTTTCCCAAATTCCCATCTCCGTCCTCCTGGGGCTTCCCTCCCCATGAGCTGAAGGCAGGCAGCCCATGTATGGTCACTGCCTGGGGAGAGACTCTGCTGTGCCAGCAAGCCCCAGGCTTTTCTTTGCCACGTCCATCCCCAGCTGTCTTGAATTCTCCAGATCCTTAGAGGAGTCTCAAGGGTCTTTGCTGAAATGACTGCTGTTGCTAAGTATACCCATGGTTGGAAGGAGGTTGTTTAGGAAAACTGATACTTGGAGAGTTTTTGGACCCCTTGGTACACCAGATTCCTTGGGGGTAGAATGGAGGGATGGCTGATCCCTGCTCAGGAGTAACTGGTCACAGTTTGACCCAGCTGGGCTCATTAAAGTGGAAAAATAGTAAGGAAATTAACAGGGGAGGACCAGATGGATTATTTAATGAAGCTGGGTTATACTTCTGGTTTCCAAATTGGATATAGGTGCTCTGGCAGTGGCATTAGGGATAAAGAACTGTCTCTAATTATAGGAGGTATCAGGTGCCTTCACTGTCCTTTTCTCCTTGGGGAAAAAAAAATAAATTAAGCCTGGCTTTTCTCGCCTTGCCTCCAAGCTTATTTTGCTATGTAAAGCTATGGGTTTGGAGGCATGTGTGTTAAAGCAGGGCATTGCCCAGCAGCCTTCATTTGAATTGCACTTTTTAAAACACAGAAGACTCTCTGTTGGCTGGAAGGCTGGCTTTTTTAAAACTCTTGGTGTGAAGTCTGGCTCTGAAGCTTATGGGAATCCCTTGCCCCTGGATTTTGTAAGGTGAACTTACTTCAGAGGGTTTAGGGCTTTCCCCCAAATCTGAAAACCCTGTGATAACTGGAAGGGCTGGCTGTGCAGCAGGGAAGTGCTTAATCTTGGCATGCCCTGGGGATCCTGGGCCCCTCTGCTCTGACCTTCACCGACCTTGCTAATCCAGCCCTGACTGATGCTCTGCCTGCATCCCCCTTTGCATTCGTCACCCCTGTGACCCTCATGCCCAACTGTGGGGTCTGCCTGGGGGCTGAGCTGACCCCTTGCTGCCCTGGTGCTCCCTTCAGAGCTGTGCTTGCTCCCAGCTAGGCACTCATCCAGCCTGGCTGCTGCCTCTGTCAGGACACTGACTCATATCTGAACAGACCACCTGGCCAGGAGGTGCTCCAAGATCTCGCCAGTGCCATGTTTTTGTTGGGAACAGCTTTTTCTTTGAGGGGGGTGGGAATCCTGGCCCAAGTGAAGTTGTTTCTCAGGCTACAGGGGTCGTTGATATAATCACCAGGCTCCTGAGAGTGTAATCTGGCTCTGACTGACTGACTGCACACCTGCAGTGGTGCTCAGGGGCTCAGAGGGAACATCACAAGGATTTGCTGCTCTCACTTCATCCTCCCCACGCTGCCCTCCTGGCACAGTCCAGCTTTGCAAACCTGCATGGGAGGGATGGTGTCTGCTCACCTGGAACAGGTGAGGGAGGGCTCTGCTCCCCCAGCTTGCACAGCAGCTTGGACCTCCTGTAGCTGCAGTTCCTGCTCTCTTAATGAGTCCAATAAACTCCTTATCAGGCTGAGTCTTTGGGATTACTGAGGTGGTGCTTTGGAGCCAAATGCACGGGGAATGGATCTTCCTGGTGTGGTTCTGTTCTAAAGCCTCTCATGAGGAGAAGCCTTGGGGATGTACATCAATGAAAGGAAGGCACAGGGGTGGATGATAGGGGCTCAGGCCTCTTTACCCAGGTCATGGCCATCTGGTATGGGTCAAAAAATATGTCCTAGGAGGTGCTGCACATTCTGGGAAAGCAGCTGCCCTGCATGACATGAATTTGGCGTGATCAGTACTAGAGGAGCACCCACAGTGCCCAGCCAAGGTCAGGGTGTCACCATGGTGGTGTTCTGTGGCTATGCCTCAGGGATGGAGGACAGGTTATCTCTACTGCAAGGCCAGACAGCTGAGGTTGAGATGTTTACGAAGGTGAAGGGATGCCCTGACTGCAGAGCTTGCCCACTGTGGGTTTGGTACCTAGAAGAGGTGTTTTGCTATTGGACCTGTGTGACATCTGCCAGGCCTTGGCAGCTGTCTTAGGTAACCCAAGGCATCCCACACTTGGCACCTATGTTTAGACACCTGAATGGCTCCCTGATTTCCCAATATCAGCCAGGAAGCACAGGCCACGAGTGAGATTTGAGCCCAGCTCTCCTGAGGCTTGGCCAGGTGTCTCCTCAGCCTGTCCACATGTTCCACAGAGGCTCAGTCACGAGTGGGTTAATCAGCCCCACTTGGAGCCCATGTATGTTTTCCCTGCCAGTGCATCTGTCCTAACACACACCAGATGTGTGAGGCAGCCTTGGAAGCATCTTAATCCCAGGTTTCAGCACTCAGAGGTGTCTCTCATGGGCAGGTCTCCAGTGACTTTCCGGGGGCTCCACTCCTGCAGCCCCCATCCTCTGCAGGAGAACTTGCAGCAAGGCAGGACAAAATATCTTCTGTTATTTGCTACTTTAAACAAGTTCCTCCTGGGACGGGCTGCTGGGGCTGGCAGCAGAGCTCCATCTTCAGTCATACATGGGAGTGTCAGACCCAGGAGCTACTTGGGTTCAGCCTGTCTCACATGAGCAGTGGTAGTTCCCAGCAGCCTGGTGCATCTGGTAAGTGTCCAAGAAATACATGGATAAAGAGGAAGATACACGAGCAAACCCAGCTGGATTTATTAATGAATGGAAATGGCAGTCAATGGGCTTCTA